GTTATTAAATAATTAATTATTAATACTTCATTGTTTTAGTGGATTTATGATCTCTTCAGATGGCTATGCTCTCTATCATACAGACCGTAACTCATTCATCTCTTCTCATTTTCTGTGATTCTTGTCGATATATGGTCTTCCGTAGGTCTTATAGAGGACCAACCCAATGTGGTGGAGGCTACCTTATAGGTCTTTTTACATTTACTAGGTATTATCCCAATCTTGCTTCTCTTTCTACATGACCAGTCCATTTCATTGTGTAATCATATTTCTTTGATGATACCCCTTTTATTTAAGTCTTGTGTCTAGGTCATCATTGGAAATATATTGAAAGCTATCCATTTCTAATTATCTGTTGATATAGTACCCTATTTAGTCAGTTATTAAATTGTTTTAAAAATGAACAACTTAGTTATTTAGGTGTTGGCTCTTTAATAAAAAACTTATTTTGGCAATGTAATACTATAAATATTATAAGCAAAATAGATGGTCAGATGGTAGACTATATTACTGATAGTACATCTGATTTGCTTCCTTTAATCCCACTCACAAGGAAACGAATTTTCTTATCTTGGCAAACATTACTGGTAAGACTATCCTGTAATTTCTTGATATTTTTATCTCAGATGTTCTGGGAAGAAGCATTTTCAGCTGCTGTGCACCCTTTCAACAGTAGCAAAATTGTTTAGGATCATAGTGAGAATTTGCTCCCTTTCTGTCAGTTCAGTCTCTGGCAGTAAATATAACTGTTATGTTTGACTGATCAGATGATCTTTTAACTAAGCTTCAGTGTACTATTCAATCTTTGTAGTAATTTATGTAGCTGTTTACACGGCCATTAATATGAAATAAATTTGGATAAAAGAAATAGGCTGAGGATTCTTAAGGTTTTTTTTTCATGGCCCTCTTTGACAGTCTCATGAAGCTTGTTGATCACTTTCTGAGAATACTGTTTTCAAGTATATTGAAAAAATATGTAGAATTACAAAGGAAACTACTTATATTGAAATACAATTATTAAAATATTTGTAAAATGCACCAGTTTACAGGCTTCAGGTTGAGAGCCTCTTATCTAAGTTTAAGGGGCTCTTTTAGCAAAAATATCAGTCTTTTTCACTATCTGAAATTGTGTATAAATTAAACATTCAGGGGACTGAATCAAGGGGAGTGGTGGCAGTTTCCAGACTTCTCAAATCACAAACTGCGAAGACAACTTAGAAAGTCAGTAGGAAAGGTCTGTGACTACGGTGAAAGAGAAACTGGTGAGAAAGAAACTCGGTCCCAGCCCCAGTCCCAGCGCAGCCCCCAGGAAGGCGGCTGCTTCTGGAGCTTTTGGCCCACAGACAGAGGGGGAATTGAGTGACTGATCAGAGGGGGATTGCAGGGATCTCTTTACTGGGGCTGAGGCAGGAACCTCTTGCTTTGCCTGTCCTTGGATCTAGGTTGCAGTTCTGGGTGGTGGTCCTGGGGTGAGGAGGAGTGCTAGCATGGTGGACCTTGTGGCAGCAGTGGAGAGGGAATCCTCCTCACAGTTCCAAGGCAGAAAAGAGTGCTTGTGGTTACTCATGGACCAGAGCACAGGCCAAGAAAGGAGTAAACACGTCACCTTTGATCTCTGAAGCTTGGGACAGTACACTCTCCACACTGGTTGTATGTTTTGATCTTCTTTGTCACCAAAGTAGGCTTCTATGATGTGCCTTTTTTTTTTTTTGCACAGTTTACTCTTGATCCCATCCAGTTACTTGAGTTTTAAACTCTTTGTTAATGTAGGGGTCTGCTTCCAGTGTGGAGAGTGTACTGTCCCAAGCTTCAGGGGTTTTGTGCAGCTGTTTTCAGAGATACTTCTAGAGACCTGTAAATTTTCAGTTCTTCCAAGGTGGTATGATGAGGGGCAAGATGTTTCCTGTCCACCACCACAACAAGCTCCACTGCACCAGAGCTCCTCGCCCTAGTACCGCCCCTCAGAACTGTGACCCAGCTCCAAGAGAGAGCTCAAGACAGTCACTGCTTTCCCTCTGCCATCTTCCCTACCGACTTTTCTAAGTTGTTTTTGCAGTTTGTGATTTGAGAAGTCTGGAAACCGCCACCACTCCCCTTGATTCAGTCTCCTGAGGCCTGCTCTAGGTTGTCTGAGACCTGGTCTTTGCCTGCGGGCCCACACTGAACTGCGCTCCTCTCCCGGCCTGGAGTAACAGACCTTCCAATCAACCATCCAGGTTGTTTTAAGTTGGAAATTTTAATTGTTTCACTCTGTCTTTCTGTGGGTTCTGCTGCTCTAGAATTTGTTTAGGGCCATTTTTTCCAGGAATTTGAAGGGGTTTGGGGGAAAGCTCAAGCAAGTCACTGCTTTTACTCTGCCATCTTTGCTCCGCCCTCAATATAAACATTTTCTAAGACAGTAATATGTAGAGTGCCATATAGTGTGTGTGTGTGTGTGTGTGTGTGTGTAGGTATTAATACTTCTTGAAAAACTGGAAAGTAATTTGGTAGAAAATAGATTTAGAATGCCATGTTATACCACATTCCACAATAAATTCTAGTTGGCCATATGACTTAAATATATAAAACCATGAAATCATTAGAGGAGAATGGAAGGAAGCATTTTTCTCTTGTCCTTAGGGGCAGGATTTATAACCAAATAAAGAATAAAGGGGATCATAACATAAATTTTTTTGGCCTTGCATACGGTGGGAGTTTAAATGTTTGTTGAATTGCCATTTAAACTCTTTCCAACCTCTTCAGTTACATAAAAGTTAAAAGCTTTTGAACAAACATAATCGATGAAGCTAGAATAAGAAGAGAAACTTGATGGAGTGTGAGGGAGATCTCTTTATTAAAAATATTTTCTAAAAGTCTGATGCTTAAGATTCAGAGGGAATTGACACAGATATATAAGGCCAAGAGCCATTCCTCAGTATATAAGTGGTCAAAGGACCAGATGCTGTCTGAAACCAGACAAGTTTTTAAAAGAGGAATTACAGCCTATCCACAACTCTATGAAATATGCTCTAAATAACTCATAATAATCAAAATGCAAAATAAAATATCTCTGTGCTTTTACTTGACACCCATCAAAGTGGCAAAGATGATAAAAAATGGAAATAGTGTTGGAGCATCTGTGAATTGTTTCAGTTGTTTTTTTAAAACTATTTGAAATTGTTGAGAAAATGATTAAATTCTTCATATCCTTCAACCTAGTGATCCCATTACTGGACTTAAGGAAGTCAAAGACAGAAAGAAAAGTGCTTTAAATAGCAAAATTTTCATAATAACATCATATGCGATAACGTAAGCTTGGAAATAAATTGGGTACTCATTGACTGGGGAATAGCTGAATAAATTGTGATTTATTAATGTAATGGAATATTATTGTGCCCTAGTCTGTAATAAACAGTAACTGTGAAGAACTCAGAGAAACAGACTTCTAAACAGAGCCAAGGAAGTTAGATCAAGAGAATGGTATGCACAGTAATCAAGAGGCCTGCTAATGAAACATACTTCCCTCCTATCAGTAGCACAGGGAGGTAAAATACAAGTGCAGAATGTTGAATACGTTGTAAGATAGTATTACTGTTAATTTTGATTTTTAAAAACTTTTTCTTTGTTACAAAGGAGAATTATCTAATGTTTAGGTTGTCTTAGGAAGTGAAAGTAATAAAAAAAAACAAAAGAATCAATACAGTAATTTTAAGAAGTAAGTAGTACTGATACTGATACGAGTTTGATATTAAAAGTCTTAAAGGATGCCAAAACCCAGTTGTGTATCTGTTATACATCTATTTTTGTCTCACTTACAGTGGGAAAAAAAGCAAAAAATCATTTAAATGAATTACAGTTTGACATTCTATGTATATAGAAATCATATGGTAATTTTGCTAGTTTTTCCAATCTATTTAAAAGTATAAAAGTGAGAAAGATATATATTAGAAGCGTTCAGAAGTGGGGAAAATTACACATTCATATACATATTGACCTACCACTTTTCCTTATGGGCCACATAGATAAAAGATAGAATCTGAGATGTAGGAAAGAAGGGAATTTTGCTACCAGCTCACCAACAGGAAGGATCACATCTAGCTAGATTGACTAAAATTTTACCAAACATCCTTTGTGGATTCCTGTCTCTATAATTTTGCTTATGCTGTTTCCACTTTTGTAGTACATTTTCCCTCTCTTATTCTGCATAAGAATATTCTGTATCCTTTAAGACTTAGCACAAACACTACTTTTTTCTTGGTTTTCCTTGGTCCACCCTTAGCACACTGAGCTCTTATCCTCCTTCGGTAGGCAGTTATTATCTGTATCCCTTTTGGAACACTTACTATTTTATTGCGTTGTGATATTGGGTACCCTTAAAATTAGTTTTTCTCACCTTCCCAACTGGATTATAAGTTCCTTAAGTACATTAATCATCTCATACATCTTTATATCCCTTATATTGCTCCTTAATAAATTCTAAATTCAAAGTACTTTGAATTCTGAGTGGATTTCCAATGTAAAACATACATATATACATTTTTACATGAGGGAGATTGTGCTGTCAACTCTTACTAGAAGACATTGATCATTTTTTCGTTGTGGGGTTGGATTTTAATCTAACCTATCTTTAATCTAATCTATCTTATCAGTGTTTTAAATATTAGAAGGACAAAAGTTGTAATAACCTCAACTAACCAGAGAGGCTACATGGTGTAGTCTATCAAGAACGTCTGGGTTCACCTCTCTGACACAAATTAGTCCTGGACGAGTCCCTTAGCCTGTCAGTTATCCAGGTAACTAAGAATGTAAGTTGCAAAGGAGGTGGCTATCTGCATTGGTTAGGAAGTTTTCTGTGCTAATGAAATCATCAATGTGATCCAACCTTACCCCCTCAAAAAAACCCAAAACACCTCAAAATCTTTTAATACCGCTTTGTTCATGAGTAAGCTCATAAGTATATTTTATAGGTAGTTTATCATCTTTCACAAAACAATTATTTTTCATTCTTTTTTTCTCCTTAGGAACACATTATACAATGACAAATGGAGGCAGCATTAACAGTTCAACACACTTATTGGATCTTCTGGATGAACCCATTCCAGGTGTTGGTACATATGATGACTTCCACACCATTGATTGGGTTAGAGAAAAATGTAAAGACAGAGAAAGGCATAGGCGGGTATGTGATATCTTTTACAATATTGCAAAGTTTTTATTAAAATGTGTTTAAAATGAGCTTACTTTGAATATTTAGTATTATATTTTTAGCTATTGGCCTTGGGCAGCTATATTTTAGCAGGCTGTGACTTTTCTTTTTCTTTCTAACATAAATTTTGTTCATGTTGTGCTGCTGTAATTTTAGGACAAGTTTTTCAAACAAAAATAGTTTTGCATGACACAAAATTCATAGTGAAATCACTTGTGAGGCTAAATTTCACTGATATACTTCTGGCTTTGCTGTTGCTTAATTTTCTGGTCACTCACTTCTAGTAGAGCAAAAGAAGACTGAATTAATTTCTGGCTATAGCAGCACAAATGCCAGTGGTGTTGGTATTCCTTTGAGAGGAGAAAACATGTTTCTCCCTGTTAAAGTAGAGTGGAACATAGACTAGAACATCTTCTTGTAGTTAAACTTCCTTCCTTCCCAAAGAATATAGAAGTTACCTTCCTTCCATCATAGAAAACTTACCATTACGTTGAAATATAAAGAGAAGGTTTTCCGGATCCTTTCTGAAGGTATTGGTATTGTAACTGTTCACATATTTCTACTGGTAGCTTAACAACCAGTCCAGGTTTAATTTTTATTAGCCATTGAGAGCTGGGTGACCTTACGCTTTTATGAGTATTCTATGAAGGTGTCTACATGCCTTATTGCTCTAGTCTAAACTATACTGTTTGTTATATTTGAGGTACTTACAGAACCAGTCAATGCCATCCTCACGTTTTAAATTAGAAAAGACAAATAACATAGACACACATATACATAAGACAATCTCTGGTCCTTCCCAGCTCTAAAATTTTAACTCTAATTAGCTGCAGAAATAAGAAGTAAAGGTATGTATAATTTATCACTTGGGTTGTTTCCAAATATATCCTTTGAATATACTAACAGCCAGTGCAAACCATAGCTATCACTTAAAGGATTTGATTGAGAACAAAAATATTAACACAGAATTTGGTTTCAGTGACACTGCCTATTCAGAGGTTCATGTACTTCTGACTTCACAAACATTTATCAGGTACCAGCTTTGTTCAGGGCACTGTGCTAAGGAGTAGGGGTACAGAGAGGCAAATGAAATAGTCCTTGCCATTTAAGAGCATGTATTGTTCTGAAATATAGATGGCTTAACCTTCATATTTGAAGATAATGTTATTGATGAATGTTTTGCATATGTGCGATGTGCCTGGAAAGATGAGTGTGTGACCCTTCTATATGAGAGAGAGGGAGAACGAGGAGGAGAAGAAGGACAAGAGAGGGAGTGAGAGAGACAGAGAGAGATTGTGTGTGTGTATATGTGTGTGTGTATTCTAGTTGGCAAATTTTGACACTGCGTGCTTGATTTCCATTCTTCTCATTTGTTTTGTTTATAGATGAAAAATCAGATTTTTGTTTTGATTGAAACATTTTTAATTTCAGATCAACAGCAAAAAGAAAGAATCAGCATGGGAAATGACAAAAAGTTTGTATGATGCTTGGTCAGGATGGCTAGTAGTAACACTAACAGGATTGGCATCAGGTAAAAGTATTTTTAAAAAGGCTTTTCTGCATTTTGGAAATAGAAATAATTATTTCCTGACATTTTCATTGACTAATAAATTTTAAAAACATTTTTCTCCTTCAAATCCTTTATTTTCACTGCAATATGAGGAATCAACTGCCAATCATTTAAGTAAAGAGTACCATGTTATTCACATTCTAAAAAAGATACATTTAATATGTATATTATAATTACATGTAAGAATATTCAGTGATACTAATGCAGAAGTCAACTTTAAATCACTGGAATGTTTTTCTTAGGATTTTTATTTTAAAAATCATGGTGTGTACAAAAATCTTTAGTGTATAAAATTCTAATGTCAGCTGTTTTCTCTTTGAATCTTCTAATAAGACATAAGAATAGTCATTACTACATTTTTGTATAATTTTTTTTTTATGCTTTAATCTTTAATGGATATATTATTTCATTGATGCAGAAGATTGTTTTACTGGTACAGATTATACTCCACACACTCCATTTTTTGAGAGACTTACAAATACTTCTAAGTATTTCTAATACAGGGGAGTCCACCCAACATGTTGGGAACTTATTTTGTTTCTTGATGTTAACATAGATAACAGTGCCCTCAGTCCTCTCACCATTCTCCTTTCACAGTGATGGTATCTGAGGGGCAGAAAAAGGATTAGAAGGTGTTAAGAATCAAATAATTTTTAGGTAATCTGAAACATTTAACTAAGTTGATGGTATTCTAAATGTGAAATCCCTATCTGGTGTCCAGAGAGACAACGTTACAAACAGAACTGAATCAAATCAGTGTTGACAGTCTCACAGTAAACCAGAAGATTTAAGGAAATTGCATTTAAATGGAAGGATGTTCACAGCTTTTCTCCTGAAAGCCAAATAAAGGAATTGGCATTATTTTGTGTCCAAAAGCAACAAAAACTCTTGGTATACTTGGTCATTTTGCATTGGTCATAATGAATAAAAGGACATCAGTCACCATGAAGATAATTGTAGCTTATGTGCCAGCATCTTTTGCAAAGAATGAGTTCTGCACGATGGTGAAAAATATTGGAAATACATGTCACAATCTGGAAACAAAAGAGAACTGAGGACTACTGAGAAGTCTGATGCTGTCATATCATGAGCATTGTTTTCAGGAAGAATTGGAAAGCAATATGGCATACAATTGAAGCAGATTCAACCTGATCTACTTAAATACTTTATAAATACAGAAAATCAGAATTAGAGAAAGATTGCTAGATGGATTGTTAACATTAACCTCTGTGAAGCAGTTGCCAGGGCAAGGAGGCCAAAAAAGGCTAAACAAAGAAAGACTAGAGATAATCTATCTTTTATGAATGTGGAATTTATAGGAGGTTGGAAATTCGTATCTTATAATGCTAGGAACTTGGTGATCTTGTGCACTTAAGGCCTGACAAACAGGAGCTTTTTTTTTTTCTTTGTTTTTGGAAAGTAGACCATATATATAGATTGAGTAGTGGATGATGTGAAAAGGTATTTGTTTAATAAATATATCTGTAAACAAGAGTGGATAATTTCAGTTAAGAAATAGAATTTATCATGAAGTTATAAATATATGACAATTGTAGTTCTATGTTAGAAATTTGACTGGGGGGGTTCCTGTGCAATTGAGAACTGAGAAAGATGTTTGCTTGAATTTTGGAGCTCAAAATTAGTCCTCTTCCCCCAGCAAAATTCTGTCACATAAAGTTAAAATCATAGTTGTTGGAGCAGTTTTTCTTTAAAAAGTGCCCTTGGATATCAGAATGTACTCCATTTAAAGCTTTCAGACCTATTTAGTAATTGATCATAAAGATGCTTATATATGAAAGACAACTAAACATTTGAGTTGTAAAATATTAAGAGTTCAGTCATTAAATCCTGTCAGTAATTCAGAATCAAAATAAACAGTAATTAAGGAGCAAAACTGGACATAGTGTCCTAGAAATAGGTGTTGAGTAAACATTTGTTGAATGAATTAATACTCTTTTGACTAACAGGGGCATTGGCTGGATTAATAGACATTGCTGCTGACTGGATGACTGACCTAAAAGAAGGAATTTGCCTCAGTGCATTGTGGTACAACCACGAACAGTGTTGTTGGGGATCAAATGAAACAACGTTTGAAGAGAGAGACAAATGTCCACAGTGGAAAACATGGGCAGAATTAATCATTGGTCAAGCAGAGGTAAGTCTTATTCTGTCTCAGGAAAAAATAACAATTGAAGGAAGCACACTTGAGAATATGTACAAGATACGTGAAGTTGCAGTTTTAATTATTTCTAATACTGCATCATTAATGTTGCTAAAACAGTTTAAGGAGAGACTGCATTGATCCGAAAAGTGGTAGAATAATTAAACTTCTAAGAAATACTCAGGAAATTTTTTTGGGAAGGTGAGGGGAAGGGTCAATCATTGCTGTGATTACAGGATTACATACTTGACTTACTGGTATGGTATAATGAACAAAGTTAACAGTTAAAACACTATGTATTTAAACATAGATAGTATAAATGGGCTTTTGTTATGCGCATGTATTGAAACTAAAAATAAAACAATACTATGGCCATCAGCACAATTATTGCTGTAGAATAGCAGGTCCTTACTTGGCCTAACTGAATGGATTTGTACTTAAGCCAGGAGGTATAATTAATGATAACAATACTATAATCTACATATATAATGAACTGTAGCAGTATAGTAAGTGGGTACCTTGTTTCTAATTTGTTTCTGTTAAATAGTGTGTGTGTCCATGCATGGGTATGTGTATGTGTATGTGTGTTAGGCAGGGTTAGACACCTGTCTTTGTAGTAGTTAGAACTAAAGAAAGCAAACCTAAGAGAAATTGACTCAGATGTCTTGTTATATGGATACATGTTCCTTTTGAAAACTTCTTTAGTACTGGACTTTATGTAGAACTTCCTTCATGGTGAAAATATACCAGGGTCACTTTCCAAATCCGATGTTTTTCATTTGCTGCAAGCGTTTGCTTTTGTATTAGTGGATGCTATAAATTTTAAAATTCACTAAATACTCAATTGTTTGGATTTTTTTTAGGGTCCAGGCTCTTACATAATGAACTACATAATGTACATTTTCTGGGCTCTGAGTTTTGCCTTTCTAGCTGTTTCCCTGGTGAAGGTATTTGCTCCATATGCCTGTGGCTCTGGAATTCCAGAGGTAAGATATGAAAAATTTAACAGCATTAAAAATTTAGTAATATCTTCCTGCCTTTTAGAAAAAGAAAAGAAAATTAAGTCTGGTAGAAAATGATTTACTAAATATAAGATAAGCTTATATGTAGAATTATTAAAAATTAACATGATTGTTAGACATTATTGAAAGAATTTTTAAAGTAGTCATTCACTATTTACTGTTTAGGCATCTGGTGGTCTTTGGTGTTGAATTGTGAGAATTCACACCAAAAGAATTTTTTTTTTAAATGTGATCAGTTTAACAGTGATAGAGCAATTACTCCTTGTTGTAATCCAGAGTTATTTAAGGAAACAGCCAATTAAAAAAAAAAAGAAAGAAAACAAGAAACTTAGTTTTACTTAGTAATGTAAAATAACATGGATTCCTTCTTTTAATTTAACCAGTGTTTGGATCAGAGAAATAAGAAACCTTCTCCATGATGTGCTTGCAGCTGCTATTTATAAACTTGCACCTTAAAACCAGAATTTAATAACAATTTTTTCAATAGCAAATACTTCTATGCAACTTTTCATCAACACTTTTATAAAGGTGTTATATTTCTGAATATATTTATGACTGAACTTTCTATAAATGTTTTAATTTCCTAAGGGGGAAGAAACCTCAAACTTAATTCTTGACAAACTTTCAGAAATATCTTAGGTGTAATTTATTGATATGAGAGATGTGTGAACTAGCGTTTTCCTAGTTTTATAAAATATTCCTGACGTTGAGGGTGTTGTGTCACTTTACTGTAGATGTTTATATTCGTTTTTTGTAAAATCACCTCAAGATAGTTGCCATCTTGGTAAGGAATTAGAATATGGTGTAATTTATATAGCACAATAATAAAGGTACTAGAATATCAAATATAGTCTGAAAAATTTTAACTTAATTTGTTATAAGTAAAGCAAAAAGTTTCTGAAATTAAATTTTATTTTTTCTTACAGATTAAAACAATTTTGAGTGGATTCATCATTAGAGGTTACTTGGGAAAATGGACTTTAATGATTAAAACCATTACATTAGTGCTGGCAGTAGCATCAGGTTTGAGTTTAGGGAAAGAAGGTCCTCTTGTTCATGTTGCTTGTTGTTGTGGAAACATTTTTTCCTACCTCTTTCCAAAGTACAGCACAAATGAAGCTAAAAAAAGGGAGGTAAGTGCTTTACTTATTCATTTGGTAGAAAAATCTTTTTTATTCCAGTGAGATTTCAATAAAATATTTTCCTGAGTGGAGTGAAGATTGTTATTTATAGTAAATAAGCCATTATGATGGGATTGTAGATTGTGTGGAGGGGAATAAAGCGTAAGAAGACTGGAAGTGTAAGAAGGGGCTAGATTATAAAGATCTTTCAGTGCCCAATAAAAGCCTTCCTATTTTATTTTGGAGATAACAAGGGATTTGATCTTGTAGTTTATTGAGTAGGGGGAAGTGATGTCATCAGACCTACGCTTTAGGAAACTCACTTTGACAGCTGTGTGGAGGGAGGGATGAATTAGTAGGCTATTGAAATAGTATATAGGCAAGATGTGATTAAGAATGGTGGCTGTATGAGTGGAGAGAAGGGAATGTATATGAGAAGTGTGAAGATAGAAACAAGATTGGCAACTGATAAGATATATGGATTGAATAAGCATGAGGAGGTGATAAAAATACTGAGATTATAAATTTGAGTGACTGTGGAAGGATGACCCTTGCCAATAATAGGAGAGGGGAGGGTATGGGGAGAGGGATGAGTTCTGTTTTGGTCATGTTGAGATTAAGATGCCCATGGGACATCATTTTCTTTTCTTTTCTTTTCTTTTTTTTTTTCCAGCCAAAGACAAGGTTTATTAAAGATCTGCCATATTGGCCAGACTCTTAAGGAATCTGAACATTTGTGAGCTATTGGCTAGATTATAAAAATCTGAGCCCTTGGCTAGACTCTTAAAGAATCTGAGCACCTTAATGGAGATGAGATGAATCTTATATACAGAAAGATTGTGGGAGGTGTCCAGGAGTGGCCAAGTAGTCTGGGATGACTTGGAGGAGGGGTTTAAGGAGGATCTGGATGGGAGTGGCCAGTAAGCTGCGGGGAACAGGACTCCAGGGACCTGGACCACATGGCTAAGGGAGAATGGAGTCTAGGTAGGATTAAGGGCGGGAAGTGGCCAGGGGCAGTCGGGAGGTATCAGTGGGAGGTGAACAGAATTGGGAGATTGGGCGGAGCTACAGTGAAAGGCCAGTTGAGTGGATTACAGCCTCAGGCAAATGCCAGAGGTTTGGGAAAAGTCCAGGGATTTTCTTTTTTGAGGGCCCAAATCCCAGATCCCAAAGACATGGTCTTTTCCTTTTAGGGGTTCAGATTCCATTGCCATCATTCCCCCCTCATACATATGGGACCCAAATGCTTTTGGGATAAGGGACAAAGGTCTTGGCTTTTGAAACTGCTTCCTGCTGGCAGGGGACATACAGCTGTCCCTGCCTTGGCAGGGGGACATCATTTTCATAATGTCCTATAAGGAGTTTATGATACAGAACTGGAAAGACTGGGGTGGATATATAAATTTGGGAATCATCTGCATAGAGATGATAATTGAACTCCTGGGAACTGATGAGATCATCAAGTGAGATAGCATAGGGAAAAAAGAGAAGAGAGATCAGGACTGAACCTTCAAGAATAGCCACATAGTGGTTATGACATGGATGAAATTTGAGCAAAGGAGGAGCAATCAGAAAGGTAGGAGGAGAACCAAGAGAGAACAGCGTCACAAAAACCTAGTAAGAGGAAAGTGTTTTAGAGAAGGCAATCAGCGGTGTCATATGTTGCAAAGACAGTTTTAGTTGAATGTTGATTCTCTCAAATTTATCTTGTGTGTATCTGGTTTGTAAATAGTTGTATATTACTACCCCCAATAGACTTTGAGCTCTTTGAGGAAAGGGAATGTGTGTCCTCCTCCCACCATCCTTTGCATCTCTAGAACTTTGCACAGTGCCTGGCACATAGTAGGTGCCAGTGGGTCAGAATACAGATTCCAGAGGGTAGATGACTCCTGAGGCTTTTCTCATATTTCGGCCTCAAAATCTAGATAGTTCCTCATCCTCCGTGGTAGTCTTTGCTAGAGATGATCTAGACCCACACTTGAATCTTTGACATTTTGGAAGAAATCCTTCGACTAAGAATTCCCTCCATCCTGGCTCCATAGTTTAGACTTAAAGCCTGCGAGTGTGTCCTACAGAGGTTCCTCTTGGTTTTTATGCTGTGCTAAGAAGGATCCTTGTTAACTATCAGAACCACTCACACTACCCTTGGCAAAAAGCAACATCCTATGTTCATCTGGTTATTATAAGGTGTCTAGAATCCTTTTGTAAAGTATTTGTTAGAATATATAGAAATATTTTTTCTTTTTCCAATTGGCAGTGCATTATTTTGGTTAGAACTCTAATATTTCCCTGATTTCCTTCAACTTTTTAAAGCATGTTCAGATTTAATTTCATTTTATTCTGACACCTGCTTTTTTGCTTATCTATTTAACAAGTGAGGAAACTGAGGCACACAGATTAAACAAACTTGTCTCCTTGCTTGTAAGTAGCAGAGACAGTAATTGAACCCATATACTTTCACTTCCAGTTTTATGTACTTCCCATTATATATAGAACCCCAGAATTAGATGGGACTTGAGCCTCTACACTTCATGACAACTTTCTCTTTGGCTTTTAAAGCTCTTCAAAATCTGACTCTAGTCTATCTTTCCAGGCTTATTGCATATTGGTTTCTTTTAATGCACTCAGTGTTCAAGCCAGTGAGCCTGTTTGCTGTTTCAAACATTATCTCTTCTGTCTCAGTGAGATTTTTACAAGTTTATTAAAAAAAAAAAGATTCCATGACTCTGAAGGAGAAGAAAGATCAAAAGAGAAATATACACCGTGACTGTTGCACTGTAAATAGGAAGAACAAATCAAATCAAATCAAAATCAAAAATGAATGTTCCAAAATTATAATGACCAAGCTTGGACCCAAAGGAGAGAAAGAACTCTTTCCCTTTGTTGAAGCAGTGGACAACCAGGGGAGCAATATAACGTCAGACTTAGTGGATTTGTTGATTAGTTTTGCTGAATTGCCTTTTTTACTTCTCTTTTATTCTTTGTTACTTATGCAGGTATTGTTCCAACTCTCTTCCTACTTGTTTCTTTTGTGGGGGGAGTATCTTCCAAGCCATATATGTCTTGATTTTGTGCCAGTGGTTTATAATTGTGGTTTTCATGGAAAGGTCTTCAATGGCCTTTTCTTTGCTGCCAGTAAAGCTTTTGAACCGTTATCTTAAGTGTAAGGTGATAGTAGTCTTTGTACGCAAGCAGTCAGTTCACAAGTATTTGTTAAGCATCTATTCTGTGCCCTGGGATTGTGCTACTCACTAGTGATACTAAGACAAAAATGAAACAGTCCTTCCCTGCCTTCAAGGAGCTCAGATTCTATCTAGTTTATATGCAGACTAGTTGTAATGTTATCCCACTATAATAAGCAAGATAAATTTTCAGCAAAAAGAAATTATAGAGTGAATTCTCTAACCAAATACAAATGATTTGTTTACTTTTTGTCCTCTATTTGCATGCATCATTAGAATTTTCCTGCATTTCTTGGAGCTTTATTTATCCTTAAAGTGTAGCATAGTGGATAGAGAAGCTGGCCTCAAAGTTAGGAAGACATGGGTTCAGGTCCTCATCTGACGTATACTGTATCTGTAACTGTGGGGGAAGTTGCTTTAACCTCTCTGCTCCAAGCGAGTCTTTAGGAAGTCTTAAGTTTCAGAGAAAGTGTTTACTGACATTGATAGTGGGAGTTTCCTCACACCAGGGAAATCACAGGTCTTGTTCCCATCCTTACCCCTCCTTTGGGTTGCTGTTAATGATACCATAGTGTGAGGTTCCTCAGTAAGATGATTATGTAGCCTGGTGATCTTATTTTGGAGTCATAGCTCCCATTATAGTTGATGCACATTTCAAATGGTAGATGATAAGGCAATGAGGAATGCAGTATCCTCACTTTCCAAATATTTGGGAATACTTGTCTTAATTATTATGGTTAGACAAAAAAAAATTAGTTTAACAAAGGAACATTTGGAGACAAAGATGACAACATTCATGAAGATTCTTCTTAAAAATTTTTTAATCAGAAATAGAAAAAAAGTTAGAGCAGGACAAGAAGTGAATGAACCATTACTCCCTTTTGGTACTTAGGGAAGAGGCAGGGTGGTGTTCACTTCACAGAGAAGTGTTGATGTGCTGTATCAGAATAAATACTCTTCTCTGCATTTGGATTTATAATAAAGCCTGAGATTAAAGTTTTGTGATTTTTTTTTTCTAGGTGCTGTCAGCTGCCTCAGCAGCAGGAGTGTCTGTAGCTTTTGGTGCCCCAATTGGTGGAGTCCTTTTTAGTCTGGAGGAGGTATGTAAAGCTGTAATGGTAGATTGCCCAAGGTTATGATTATAAATATCTATCCTTTTGATAGATTTTAAATAATTTTTTTTAGCTTTTGGGTCTATGGAAAAATGAAATATTGATATGATATAATTTTTACTATTCATAATTAATGTTTGAGGAAATGTTTCAAATGTTACTCCTTTTGAGTTATTTAAATTATAGCTTATAGTGTATTTTTATTTTGGTTTTGAAAAATTTCTTTTTCTTTAATTTGTGTCTCTGAATTTTTCTTGTGATTTTTTTAAATGCCCTCACTGATTTTTAAAAATTTTGTCAGTAAAACAGTATTAATCTTTTCAGAGTAGTGTTACCTTTCAGTTTCCTCAACAGGTTCACCCTCTGTGGGTAGAAAAAGTTTTTTCTTTAATATGTTTTTTTAAACTCATTTTTGTATTTTAGCTATAATGGCTTTTCTTAAATTCTGCTCTTTGAAATGTTGATGTGTTCCAAGCAATGTGATATGGGTTCCATGAGAAAATTCTGATGCTAGTAGTATATTTCCCTTTGAAAGAGTAAATATGAGCTTATAGTTATGTTAAAATACTTGGTTATGTTCATTGTATTTTGTCCCAGGGGTATTCCATCCCCCCATGCCCTGGATCATTATTTAAACTCTGGCATCTTGATGTATTTTGAGCCAAAAAAGATTTCATGGCCAAATTGGTTTGGGAAACACTGAACTTAGAAGATATAATTAACTTTAAAAATCCTTTTTTAATATATTTTGTAGTTCAAAGAATAAGAATGAACATACTTTTTACTCTAGAGTACTTTATTTATTTATTTTTTTCCGGCTAGGCAATGAGGTTAAGTGACTTACCCAGAGTCACACAGCTAGTAAGTGTTAAGTGTCTGAGGCTAGATTTGAACTCAGGTCCTCCTGAATCCAGGGCTGGTGCTCTATCCACTGCGCCACCTAGCTGCCCCCTCTAGAGTACTTTAAACAACTTCTCAGGAAATAATCCAGGACAAATACTTTAAATAAAAATTACTAAGTATTTGTGGTCAATTTGAATGTATCTTATTGCTCTATCTTGTAGGTCAGGGAACAATAATTTTAAAGGTATTGTATGAATATTAATCTTAGTAGAATAAATATCTGCACAATATAAACTCTTTTAGCCAAATATAGAAGAAAGATATTCGCCAGTTATTTCATAATATAAGGAACATTTGATTAAATGAATAACCAGTAATTCTTCATTTGTTTCTTTGCAGGTTAGTTATTATTTTCCCCTGAAAACTTTATGGAGGTCCTTTTTTGCTGCTTTAGTGGCTGCCTTTGTTTTGAGATCCATCAATCCTTTTGGAAATAGCCGCCTGGTCCTTTTTTATGTGGAATATCACACTCCATGGTACCTTTTTGAACTGTTTCCTTTCATTCTCCTAGGGGTTTTTGGAGGCCTCTGGGGAGCATTTTTCATTCGGGCAAATATTGCCTGGTGTCGTCGGCGCAAATCCACAAAATTTGGGAAATATCCTGTTTTAGAAGTCATTATAGTTGCAGCTATTACGGCTGTGATAGCCTTTCCAAACCCATATACAAGGCTCAATACTAGTGAACTGATTAAAGAGCTTTTTACAGACTGTGGACCTCTGGAATCCTCTTCCCTCTGTGACTACAGAAATGATATGAATGCCAGTAAAATTGTGGATGATATTCCTGACCGTCCAGCAGGCATTGGAGTGTATTCAGCCATATGGCAACTGTGCTTAGCACTCATATTTAAAATCATAATGACTGTCTTCACCTTTGGTATTAAGGTAACTGTTAACATTACTTAATATTTAAACATGTTTGCTATATTGAAGTATTTTCCAGGATGTAAATTAAATCTAAAATGTGTTCAGTTCTACTATATAAATTATAGGGATAGGATGGTATATTAATTAGGATATGTTTGTGAAGTATTTTCAGTTCCCAAGGAAAAATAGATATAAACTCAGTGGTTGTAATCATTAATGAATATATTATCATTCATTTACTATCATGGAATTTGTCAAATATAAACCTTAACATTAAAAATCCAGAACAGATTTTATATAGTATGTCTAGACAGTTTCAGTTACATAAAAATGAATATGGATTTATCCCATTTAATTAAAATAAAAATGTTTAATTCTATTGTTATAAAATTTATGAACTATGAAAAAACAAAGTTATTATTTTCTTATCATCCTTATTACACTCTTATCAATTGATGAAATGATTGAAATTCTCATTGCTGCATCAGTGTTACCAGCTACTTAACATGTGCCTATTTCTTCAGTATGTAGACTGATCACAGAACACTAAGCACTCTAGCCAGTTATCCTGGTGGTGTTGATAGTGGTTATTATAGTATTTATAGAGATACTTCTAAAGGAATTTTAAGCTGGGTAAAAAAGTCTTTGTAGACTAGTATCACCGAACGATTTTTAAGCATTATTTAGTTTCCCTGGTGAATAGAAAAAAAAGTAGCTGATCATTTCTAGAATAGAATTTTGGTATTTTTAGCAATTCCTTTCATATTTGTCCCCAAATGCTTGAAATCTACCCTTTTTTGAACCTTTCAGTTAGATTAGCTTAATGCTATCCATTTATTTAATAACATTTAGTAAGTTCTTGTTATTTGCAAAGCACTGTAATAGGTGATGAATGAGAAACAAATATAAGACATGGTCTCTGCTGCCATAAAATCTAGTAGGGCATATGTGACATGTACAGAAATAACTATAACCTAAAATAAGGAGTAAGTGCAGAAAAGCAAGGCAAAGTGGTAAGAGGTCAGTGGAGAAAGAATACTTCTGATTGGGTTCTCTCCTTTCCTCTCTGTGAATTATGTGGGCCACTTTACTTTGTCGTCTTGTGATTCATAATTGGAAGCAAGGTTTTGCAGTTTCTCTTGGTTGTAGCTAAGGGTAAGAATTGTTATCATTTTGAGTTATTAAATAATACTAGTAAATTGTGCTGATGAATTTTTACAACTTGTCATAATTGGCACAGACATCCTATGACCTCCATCCTCCAGCAGCCCCATTTCTTTTTGGCCATTTTTAAGCCAAGCATAAATCTACCTCTGTAACCTCTGTCCACTGATTTTAGTTCTGGCATCTGAGACCAAGCAGAACTAGTCTCATTCCTTCTCCACATGATAACCCTTAATACTGAAGACACTATGTTTCCTCTTAGTGTGTTCTTTTCCCAGGGTAAGTAGCCTCAGTTCCTTCAGTAGGTCTTCATGATATGATCGTATGTTGATACATTTGGAATTGGAAGGGAACTCGTAGGCCTATAGTCAAACATACTCATTTTACAGATGAGAAAACTGAGGCAAAGAGAGGTAACTGGCTTGTTCAAGGTCACAGAGGTAAGATTTGAACCTAAAACTTCTGACTCTTAAGCCAGTGCTCTTTCTGCTGTACCATGTGATAATGAGTCCCATCAGTCACCATCCTACTTGACAGCTTCTGGACATGCTCCAGCTTATCGTGTTCTTCTTAAAATATGGCATCTTTGTTCCCTAGTAGATAAGTGGTCAGAGGATAGGACAGACAGTTCTCAAAATGAAGAAATACAAACAGTACGCAACCACATGGAGGATTGCGCTAAACCAGTATTAATTAAAGAGATGTAAATCAAAACAACCCTGAAGTTTCACTGACCATGCAGCATTTTGGCAAACATGACAGAAAATGGAAATAGTTCATGTTGGAGAGATTGTGTGAATATGGGCACACTGAAATATTGTTGGTGGAGCTATGAATTTGGTACAAGCATTCTGGAAAGCTTTTTGGAATTATGCAAAGAAAGTAATTTAAAATCCCCATACTCTGACCCAGAGATTCTATTGCTGGATGTATACTGCAAGACGGTCATTGACACATAGAAAAGCTCCATGTACACCAAAATATTTGTAGCAGTACGTATAGTAGTAGCAAAGAACTAGAAATTAAGTAGGTGCCCATCCATTGGGGAATAGTTAAACAAATTATGGTACATGAATGTAGTGGAATATCACTGTGCCATAAGAAAAGATGAACTTGATGAAAACAAAAGAGCATGGAAAGACACAAACAATTTCAAATGAAATTGAATTGTGTGAAATTATAAAGAGATATGAGAAGATGCTCTCTGCTCCTTGGCATAAATGGAGATTCACAGGTATGGAACATTGCATATAATGTCAGATTTTTGTTGGGTTGATTGAATTTGCTGAAAATTTCCCCTCTTTTTCTTTAAAAAAAAAAATTCTTTGTTATAAAAAGATAGTTCTTGGGAGGGAGCAGGGGAAGAAAACAGGAAATCAAATATAGGCAATAGAAAACAAAAGATAACAATAAAAATCTTTATTTTAAAAAATGTAGTACTTAGAACCAAACATTATATTCCAGGTATGATCTGATCAGAGTCCAGCATAGTAAGAATGTCATACCCTTCCCCTCAATACAGTGCATTTTCCATAACATAGCCAAAGATAGCATTTTTTCATCATGATAATAATATTTATATGCTGCTTTATGCTTTAAATAGTGCTTTGAGTACATTATTTCACTTGATTCTCATAAATAGCCTTGTGAGGTAGATAGGGCAGCTGTTCTCCTTCCTATTTTACAGCTGAAAAAACTTGAGACAGAGAGAGGTAAAATATCTTGCCCAATATCACATAGGTGGTAAATGACAGAAGGGGATTCAGATATGTATTTTCTGACTCCAGGTCTAATATTTTCTTCATTCCAACTCAGCCTTGCCAAACCATACTTGGCATATATTACTAGCTGTTTCAACCATTCTTAATTCTTTAGGTCTGATTTTTTTTTTCAGGTGATGTGGATAGAATTATTTCTTCCATTCTTCATGGTAAAATCATGTATGCTGAGTAGCTATGTAACAGGGAAGACCTGTTATTCAGTATCAGGAAAAGTAGAGCTTTGAATCAACAGTGAAATATTCTTACATTGAATGAAATAGAAAAGAAATCTTTGAAATGATGGCACTGAATAAAGGATAACACTCGTGCTGTAGCTGTTCTGGGTCATAGGAGAAGGGATATACTATATTTTTCTAATCTAGAAGATGTTAGACTAGATGTTTTCTAAAGCCCTTTCTACTTTAAATCCCATCATCGTGGGGTGCTGTGCTATTTGACAAAGAAAAATAATAGCAAAGCAGCATAGCATAGTGAGTAGAGAGCTGCCCTTAGAATCAAAAAGAATGGGTTTAAGAGCTATCTCTGACACATACTGCTGCATGGCTCTGGGCAGATCACCTCCCCTCTCAGGGACCTGGGCTTTATTGACAATGCAGAGCAGGTCCCAGTTGGCAATGGGAGAGGAAGTTCCTCAACAGGAGCTCCTGTACCAACTATATGATTGATCAAAACAGAAAAATAAGCATAAGAATTTTGTTATATGTGTATACAAAATGTGAGGGGAACAGGCCATGCTAATAGACACAAGTTCATAGAATAGATGTTTCAGGGCTGTCACTGGAATAATGAACCAATGGAACATAACTAAGACAAGGCTGGAGAAAATTATCAGTTTCTAAAGGAAAGGATATTTTTACATTTGTTTTTGTAACCCCAGCACAACCTAGGGTTTTGCGCCTAACAAGTGCTTAATTGTTGCTTGTTGAATTGGTATTTTAAATTTGTATACCTAAAACATTTAAAAAACCATAAAGTTTTAAATGTGGATCTCACCAATAGTCCTGTTGCTATTAATTTATAGGTTCCTTCTGGCTTGTTCATTCCCAGTATGGCAATTGGAGCCATAGCAGGAAGGATTGTGGGAATTGCTGTGGAGCAGCTAGCTTACTATCATCATGATTGGTTTATCTTTAAAGAGTGGTGTGGAGTTGGAGCTGACTGTATTACTCCAGGCCTTTATGCCATGGTTGGGGCTGCTGCGTGCTTAGGTAACTATGTACAAAAGAAAGCACATGCATTTCCTTTTATCTTAAAGGTGTTAACTGAAATGAAGGAATGTACTATTAATTGGCATTAGATAGCACCAATTATGTTTACCTGCAATTAGATTACCTCGTATTTGAAAAGTTTACTAGTACACAGAAGTGTCAATATTCCAACAACTTATTTCATAGGTATAAAAATGGAAGAAGTTAGCATTCCTTTTTTTTTTATCAAAAAACAGCTGACCTGGAAAATAGATCCAGGAGAGAGAATTTAAAAATTATTGGACTATCTGAAAGCCACGATCAAAAAAAAGAGCCTAGACATCATCTTTCAAGAAATGATCAAGGAAAACTGCCCTGATATTTTAGAACCAGAGGGCAAAATAGAAATTGAAAGAATCCACCGATCTCCTCCTGAAAGAGACCTCCAAAGGAAAACTCCTAGGAATATTGTAGCCAAATTCCAGAGTTCCCAGGTCAAGGAGAAAATATTACAAGCAGCCAGAAAGAAACAATTCAAGTATTGTGGAAACACAATCAGGATAACACAAGATTTAGCTGCTTCTACATTAAGGGACCGCAGGGCATGGAATATAATATTCCAGAGAGCAAAGGAGATAAGATTACAACCAAGAGTCACCTACCCAGCAAAACTGAGTATAATCCTGCAGGGGAAAAAGTGGTCATTCAGTGAAATAGAGGACTTTCAAGCATTCTTGATGAAAAGACCAGAGTTGAATAGAAAATTTAATTTTCAAATACAAGACTCGAGTGGAACATGAAGAGGTAAACAGGAAAGAGAAAATCATAAGAGACTTATTAAGGTTGAACTGTTTACATTCCTGCATGGAAAGATGATATTTGTAACTCATGAGACCTTTGTCAGTATTAGGGTAGTTGGAGGGGAAAAACTTATATGTACGTATATATAGATACAGATAGATAGAGGGCACAGGGTGAGTTGAAAATGAAGCAGTCATATCTGGAGAATAAAATTAAGGGGTGAGAGAGGAATATCCTAGGAGAAGGAGAAAGGGGGAGGTAGAACGGGGTAAATTATCCCACCAAAAAAAAAACAAAAACAGAAAAGAAAAGGCTCTTACAGTGGAGGGGAACCAGGAGAAGGTGAGAGGGAATGAGTGAATCTTATTCTCATAGGATTTGACTTAAGGAGGGAATAACATACATACTCAATTGGGTGTAGAAATCTGTCTTACCCTACAGGAAAATAGGGGAGGAAGGGGACAAGAGAGTAGGGGAATGATAGAGAGGAGGGCAGATTGAGAAAGGGAGTAATCAGAAGTAAATACTTCTGAGGAGGAACAGGGTCAAAAGAAAGAATAGAATAAATGGGTGGGCGGGATAGGATTAAGGGGAATAGAGTTAGTTTTTCACAGCATGTCTACTATGGAAGTGTTTTGCATAACTGCACATATATAACCTATATTTAGTTGCTTGCCTTATCAATGAGGGTGGGTGGGGAGGGAGGAAGGGAGAAAATTTGTAACCCAAAGTTTTAAAAACACATGTTTAAAAAAAATGTTTTCACTTGCAACTGGGAAGTAAGAAATACAGGAAATGGGGTACAGAAATCCATCCTGCACTTTCGGAAAATTGAAGGGGATAAGAGAAGTGGGGGAGAGATAGAAGGGAAGGCAGACTAGAGAAGGGATATTTAGAATGTGCATGCCATCTTGGGGTGGGGGAAGGGTGAGATGGGGTGAAAATTTGGAACTCAGAATCTTGTGGAAGTAAATGTTGAAAACAAAAAAATAAATAAAAATTACCATAAAAAAAAAGGAGCTACTAGGAAAGACTGGATTAAAAGTGGAAAATTCATAGTTCTGGGTCTTGCGATATAGACATGTTAATTTTGTTTCTCTCTAATATATAATAGATGGTACTTTTTGTGTTTTACTTACAAAATTCTTCAGAAGTGAATTAACAGTTGTGTAAAATACTGTGTAGCTTTTTATAGTCATTTACAAGCATAAGCAAGAATCACTCACTTCTTTCCGTCAGTAGGAATTTACTGCTGTATAGTTGGCACTGGTAAGAGCTGTGAGTTATACAAAAAAGTCCCATTTCCAGTGCGTATTTGGGTTAGGGTTAGGGTTAGAATCAAAGGGTTAGGGTCAAGAAAAGATTAATGTAGAAAACTGTAAACAAAGCAAAACAATAAATAGTGTATGCAGGACTAAACTGTGTGCTGAAGACACAATATTTAGTACTTAATATGTTAATATTCAAGGCAGTATTTATTGTTTTCATCAGCAACAAAGAGACAGCCATAGAAGACTGCTTATCAAAATTATAGGTAACATGAATGGATGGGTAGCTCACAGGCTGAAAGGACAATCAGCATACCAAAGGTCTAGAGAAGCTAGAATGATAGACCAAATCAAATAAGATGATATTTAACGGAGATAAATGTAAATTTGAGTTCAGACTTGGATTCCAGAAATCGGCTTCATAAGCACAAGTTTGGTAGGTATGACTAGATAGCACTTTATGTAGCAAAAGACTAAGAGTTTTTCTTTAGCTTAACATGAGTCAACAGCATGTAATGTTGGCCTCAGAAGCTAACGCTGCATTAAGAAAGGCATAGTGTCCAGACGAAGGAAAATGATAGCCATGTTGTACTATTTTCTGATCATACTACATTTGGAGTATTGCGTTCAGTTCTAGGTATCAGATTTTAGGAAAACTAAACTAAAGGAGAGCAGCTAAATTAGTAACTGTGAACTTTGAAGATAGGTTGAAGTAATTGGGGGTGAGAATAGAAGATTTAAGAAGGATATGAGTTGTCATGAAGCAGAGTAATTAAACTCCTTTTTCCTGGTCCTGGTGGCCAGAACTTGGAACAAAGGGTTGAAGTTGTAGAAAGGCATATTAAATTTGTTAATTCCCAAACAGTTGTCCATGAGAGCCATTACTTCAGAAAGTAATGCGTCCTTCTTTGCCACACATATTTGAAGTCTTCAAGCAGGGACCTGTTATAGTATGGAAGATGGAATTCTTATTCATGTATGGCTCGGACTAGATTGCCTCAAGGTTGCTTTCCAACTCTGTAATGATTATCTGTGATCCTGTACTGTAACAATTCAGGTGAGAGGAAAACGAGTAAGAGTTATAATAGTTAGGGAAGATGTTTTGAAGCAGGTGGTATTTTTTAGATAGGCCATAAAGTATGAGTAGGATTTGCTTAAGAGAAGAAGAGAATTCCAAGTGAAGAGAATAGCACAGGGAAGAGAATGAGGATAGTAAGGAAATCAGCCTTACTAGAATGGATAGTATGTATTGGGGAATATTAGGAAGTTAGATAGGGTGGGTAGAGTGGACTAGATTGTGGAAGACTTTGAAAGTCAGGTAGAGGAGTTTAGACTTGATGTAGTAGGTTTTAGGGAGCTATTATAGGTTTTTGAGCAGGGCAGTGACAGTGACATGAAAGTAGAAAGTTTTTTTTCCCCCCTCAGCGGTATAATAAATTGGTAAGAGGAAAGCCTGAGGAAGTGAAGTGATCCATGGATACGGTGACAAGGGCCTGGACTAGGTTGTATACAATGGCAATGGAGGATGTAGAGTAGATGCAAGAAATTTTTTGAAAGAAAAATCAGCAAGACCTAGTTACTAATTGCTTAGGGATGATGAAGGAAAACATGAGTCAAAGATAAGGCCAAGCCTTTTTTATAGATACAGGGAAGTTAGAGTGAGGAATTGATTTGGAGAGAAACATTTGAGGTAGTGTGCGGCTTAGTGGAAGAACACCATAGTGAGGAAAATTGGGTGACTTTGCATATGTGACCTTGGGAACAGAAGTTTACCTCTCTGAAGCATTTTCCACCTCTGTAAAATGAGAAGTTTGGGTTAGGTGATTTCTAGGGTCTCTCTGGGGCCTAAGTTCTATGATTTTATAAAGAGTTTAGTTTAAATATATTGATATTAATAGTGGGTTATTGAAGTCTTTTATGTCCAGTAGGTAGTTGGGTGTATCACTAGAGTTCCAAGTAGAGGACAAGACTAGAGATAGTAGATTTGGAAATAATTATGTAGAGGTGATATTTGAAGCCATTGGAATGGATAAATTCTCTAAGACAATAAATAAGGCAGGACAGTTCTCTTCTAGATCTAAACTAAGTGTTAGAGTGAAAAGTCTAGCAAGTCAGTTTCAGCCTTCGTAACAGGTTTGATTAGTATGTCACTGGCAATGGAACAGTTTTGGTGGTTTCCCAATCCTGACAAAAACAAGTAGGTTTTCACTGGAACACAAGTGTGACATGTCATTGCTTATTGGAACCATTGCAGCTTTAAAGATGACATCACTTTCAGTGGGGCGTTTATGATTTTACAAGGAGTAAAGTGCAATGAAATATTATTGATAGTGATTGTTATGGTTCTGTAAGAGGTGTATTTTTAATTCCTCATCTTTCTGATTCACTGAAGCATAATTTTATGCTTCTTTTCAGTGACTTGGTCCTATTATTAATTATAAATAGTTGATTTGTAAATATATTCTTAGCTACCTACTGTTGATAAAAATAATCTAATAATAGCATAATAAAGGATCCTATTCTTATCTGATTAGTATTGATCTTTACAGGTGGTGTGACAAGAATGACTGTGTCTCTGGTGGTTATTGTTTTTGAGCTTACTGGTGGCCTGGAATATATTGTGCCCCTCATGGCTGCAGTAATGACCAGTAAATGGGTAGGTGATGCCTTTGGTAGGGAAGGCATTTATGAAGCACACATCCGGTTGAATGGATATCCTTTCTTGGATGCAAAGGAAGAATTCACCCATACAACATTAGCTGCTGACGTCATGAGACCTAGAAGGAGTGATCCACCCCTAGCAGTCTTGACACAAGATAACATGACAGTGGATGACATAGAAAATATGATCAACGAGACCAGCTATAATGGTTTTCCTGTCATAATGTCAAAAGAATCTCAGAGACTAGTGGGATTTGCCCTCAGAAGAGACTTGACTATTGCAATAGGTAATAATTTTTCAATATTTTAAGATTACTTTCTTGTTTGTATTTAAATAAGAAATAGATTATGCTTGTTGAACCAGTGGCATATTGAAGTACTCTAAAATCTTTTTCTAAGTCAAAATTTATACTTTCATAGGTTTTATTTCTCCCAAATACAGTTTCCCATTCCCATCAATATTAGCTGTCATTAGAAATAGAAGACAAACTTCCTTTAATAAAAGGAAACAGTAAAACTGAGTAAACTGATTAATTATTCATAGTACCCTATAATTTAAATCAGTAGCTCTTCTTCAGTTAACTAGATGATCCTTTGTTCTTTAATAAAATTGTTAGATAACCCAAACTCAATATTCTTTTATTTCTTTCCTTGAATTTCAAATTTAGTGGGTTTTACCATCAATCTTATGATTTAGGTTTAATGTATTGACTTGGATACATAGTTCAAGAAGAGGAAAATCTGATTGTTCTGATCAGATGCTGGGTTGAAATAAATCAGTATTCTATTTTATCTTCACCAAGTTCTTAGAAATCTATATCATAAAGCGAATAGTCACATAATATTAAAAGAAAAGGTTATCTTCCCATAAGACTGGTATTACTGCTGCCCTCTTAAGGTATTAGCTATTCACCAAATAGTACTCTAAAACTTAATCCATAAGTGTTTTTGTTTTGTAAAGGTCAAGGCTGCTACCAGTAATCTTTCTTGTTAAGGGATTGGGAACTATACGATTTCAAGGGTTTTGGCCTTTCCCCTAAAAGGGTCTCCTCTACAGATCAATCTTCCATTTTTTTCTCTATTGCCATTGGCTCAGGATCTGTTTTATTAGCCTAATAGAAGAAAGGATGAAAAGGTAGATATAAGATCCTTTGATTTGCAAAAACTATTAAGGATAGGCAGTTTTCCAGCAACTGGGAAGTGGAAGATTTTGCTTGAGGTTATAGCTCTGTTTATTTGTCCCCAGGTAATCTTAGAGGAGATAAGTCTACCAGTTCTTGTAGTATGGTTTAAGAAATAGAACTTGGTGACTGGATCCAATAATGGGCTGTTTACTTAAACGTGGAGAGGGGTTGGTGTTTCTATGCATAATGAAAATTTACTTTGGTTTTTGGGGCAAAGGTCTTCTGTATCTTTGTAGAGGAGCAACTATAAATTAATAAATAGTAATAAATTAGTGTAATTGTAAATAAGAATAGATGCTGTTGTTTGGGTAGAAGTGATGCACACCAAGTGTCTCTGGTGAAGGTCAAAGAACATGAGTAGCTGTTTTTAGAAAATGAAATACAGATGATCAATAATCATATTAAAAATGTTCCAAGTTATTAATAGTAAGAGAAAATAAAAATTAAAACAACTCTCAAGTTTTGCTTCATCCCCAGCAAATTGGCAAAGATCATAAAAGACAGAAATAATTGATGTTAGAAGGGTTATGGGAAGACTAAGAAGTTGTTGGTAGAGCTATGAATTGCTCTACCTATTCTAGAAAACAATTTTGACATATAGTAAAAAAGAAACTAAATTTTTCATACCCTTTGACCCAGAGGGTATGAACTGCTAGGCATTTACCCCGAAGACGTCAAAAGCAGAGGGAAAATACTTACGTCAAGATATTTATAGCAGCACTTTTATGATAATAAGAAACTGGTAATGAAGTGATTGTGTATCTATTGGGGATTTTGAAAACAAGTGTGTTCAGTAAATGTAAATGAAATACTGTTGTGCTGTAAGAAACAGGAATTCAAAGAACCGTGGGATGACTTACATGAACTGTTACAGAGAAAAGTAAACAGAATAAGGGGAACAGTATACATAATGTAAAGGAAAGCAACACAAAAAGACCTCAGAATTAAAATCAGTTCATTAACCAGTCTTGACTTACAAAGGGCTGTTGATGAGGTGGACAAGTTGTGGAATATTGGTGTGGAATGACACATACATGGTCAGACATGATCATTATGTGTTTGTTTTCTTCAGATGAACTTTTTCATTACAGGAGAGGATAGGAGAACTGGAAAATGAGAGATACTAAAAAAAAAAAAAAGACAAACATTCTTCCCATGAGAGTTACTATGGCATAGTAGATAAGAGGGCTAGTTGAGTCAGGAAGTGTTGAAGTTTTTCCGCTGAATGATTCTGTGACCCTGGACAAAGCAATTCTCTTAATCTGGGGTCCATGAACTTGCTTCTTTAAAAAAATTTTTTGATAGCCCTGTCTTACTATATTGATAATCACTATATTACCTCTCACCTCTTTAAGAAAAGGACTGACACTTTTCCCCTTCTTTGTGTATAACCCCCCCCAAGAATATCTGCTTCAAGCTTGTATTTTTCCCTGAAAGTGTATCTAAATGTGTTGAATAAGTTGTTACAAAGAGGAGCAGTATGAAGCAGTGGATAGAGAATTTATCTTTAAGCCAGAAGACCTGGTTTTTAAGTCTCACCTGTGACACATACTGGCTTTGTGAGACAAATCACTTCATGCCTCGGACTGTGTACTGCAGAGTTGATGTCAGCCTACCTTGAGAGGGAGTCCTCATTTAGGAGTTCCCTATACCAGTGAAAGCACAGGTTTCTGTCCCTGTTTGAGGTATATATTTTTCATATCCAACTTTAAAAATTTACCAAAAATGGTGAACATGAACTTGCTTTAAAAAAGATTAGTAAGTAGGCATACCCCTTCATCCATCAAAAGTTTAACCAGTTTCTGAACTTGATTTCTTTGTTGGTCAAGAAACATACAAAGGTATGAAAAACTTAAAAAAAAAAAGTTTAAAAAAGTGGGGCAGCTAGGTAGAACAGAGTACTAACCGTGGAGTCAGGAGGACCTGAGTTCAAATCCAGCCTCAGATACTAGCTGTGTGACCCTGAGCAAGTCATTTAAGCCCTATTGCCTCCAAAAAGAAAAGGAAAAAAAAAAGAATAAGAAAAACTATGAATTTTCTACTTATTCCTTAATGTGCAGGTTGCTTATATGACAAACCTGTTACTCATTTGTGTTTTTACCTTTCTCTGTCTTTTCAGAAAGTGCCAGAAAAAAGCAAGAAGGTATTGTTAGCAGCTCCCGGGTTTGTTTTGCCCAGCATACCCCATCTCTTCCAGCAGAAAGCCCTCGGCCACTGAAACTAAGAAGCATTCTTGACATGAGCCCATTCACCGTAACTGACCACACCCCCATGGAGATTGTGGTTGATATTTTCCGCAAGCTGGGTCTGAGGCAGTGCCTTGTAACACACAATGGGTAAGTCTGGTACCAAGAAAGTCAAGACACTGGTTAGAACAGGAGCAACAAGTCTTTGGTCTGTCCTTTTGTGGATGCCATTTTGGCGGGACAAGGTCATTCTGCTGACTTTTATATGGGGTGTGCTGTAACTTATTTTTCCTAGAATTTCAATGGTAAGCAGTCAAATTTCTGCTAACCTGAGAATATAAAGAGCATAAAGTTAATGCTTAGTTTATCTTCAATTAAGTCATTACATTGACAATTTCCAAAAGATAACTTAGTATTTGCAAAGATGCTATGTAACTCTCCATTCCTATAAGAAAATTTACTGGCAGTAATTGAGCACAGGTTAGAATCTCTGTAGTTAAGGAACATGTGGGCCTAAAATTGCCCATATAGAACACTGAAAAACAAATTCATTTTCTTTTGTCATTCCTCATTTTTGATATGGTTATCTCATTAAAATTGTTGGAGTTTTTATTTCAGCTGACTTTGTTTAACCTGAGTGATGGAGGTTGACTGAGTGAAATTCATGGATTAGCCAATTATTTCATTTTAACCAATATTTTACCTTCCCTTCTCTGTCTTCTCTCCTCCCCTGCTATCTTGGGAAATCTTTTATAAAAGCCACTAATAAGCAACAGAATTTCACTTTCCCCTTGTTTTCCTGAGGGTTGAGTATTTATCAAACTAGTCATCAAAACACCCAGGGAGTGATAAAATCTCACAGGGGCTGTGCAGATTGGAGCTAGCATTTAATGGCAGGCAGCATACTTTGCTATCCACAATCTCTTTGTCTCCACACATCACCTCTGCCCTATTATTTTCCTGAACCAGGGCATCTCCTTTGTTCTCATCTCGTTTGTTCTCATCTCCTTCCTCTCCTTTCATTATACATTGTCATTGCATTTCTGGACCGCTTCTCCCTTCTTAGTCTTTTCTGTCTGAGAAATATATTACTGTCACCTGCCTCATCTCAACAGCATGGAAAACCTACCATAGTTTATAGTTTAATATCTAGAGAGGATCTAGGGCCTCTAGAAGATTACTCTGGGTCAATGAGAGATAAAGCTTGGATTCACATTCTTAACACGGCATAATTTCAAGAGCACCCAAATGAGATTGGTTGACAGATAAAGTGTGGGCGTTGTAACTCTGAGTAGACCTGCTGAAAGTCGGTAGAGCATCCAGAATACAATTAGCTTCCGGGATATAGAAAAGAAACTAAAATACAAATTAGCCTCTGAACCCAAGAAAGGCATTTGTTTACCGTAGGCAAGGTTTGAAAATTGGATCCTCCTGTTTGTTATAGTTACTAGGACTTTGCTTTAATATAATCCATGTGATTTACGAGGGAAAAAAATACGTGCCATGATAAGCAAAATTTGGGGGCATTAAAACATGTTCATATGTTAAAATATTATTTAAAATTTCCCTCACTGCATACCCTTTTGCAATCTGTATGGCTCCTTACCTCCCCTAACCCTAATTCTCTCTTTGCTCTAACAGTGAGGAGTTGTTTGAAATATAAAACCCTTGGAGAGCAGTGCTCTCTTAGGAACCATAAATATCATGGCATGACATACCAAGTTGGAGTTGGAGAATAGTGTTTTGAAGATGACACATAGAAAATGAATTGATGGAAAAAGAAAGTGGATTACAGTTCCTAAGCTATAATTAGGGAAAAAATGTTACTTTGAATTAAAAGGGCAGTTAACCAAAAATGTTCTGCTGAAAACTCCATTTGGCCACAGAAAATTGAGTCTTTAGTCAAAGTCAAAGATCAGAGTCTAAAAAAAAAACAAAGAAAAACAAAGACCCAAAATGAGCTGCAGAATGCATCTTGATTTCCTTTTGTATGTTTTTGCACCAACAAAACCTGGATTAGATAGATCAGTGCCAAATTAAATTTAAATTTTATCTCATCCCTGCCCATTGTGCTCATAGCCAGGGTAAAGCAATGAAAACATCACTTAGTAAAACTGGAAAGTCATTTACCTGAGAGGAAAGACTATCAATCAAGAATTTAGAATTTTTGAATATTACATATGCTGATTGGAAAAGAGATGTGCAACAAAACACTTTTATAATGTTTTAGCTCATCTAACTCTGCTATTAAAGTTTTCTTAAAGAACACACATACCAGCTGTGGAAAATGTTTCACAAAACTGCAGATTGAGTGTAGAAGTTAGTATTTGAGGTTATATTGTGATTAGTAATTTATTCCTATAAGTATTTGCTTGGCATGACAGCTCTTTTCGCTTATATATAATAAGTATTTAATGTATTGACCATGATTAAGGACTACCTCATTTAATTTTCATGTTTCAGTTTGTTGATAATTTCTCTATTAGGAAAATTGGTTGCATTATTTTATAAAATCAGAGGGTAAAAAAAAACAAACCCAAAACAAAACTCTGAGGCCTTTAAACTAAATAACAACCCTGTAAGAAACTTTTTCTAAGATATATGTATGCACATATGTATGTATATATTTGCATGTATACATGCACCAGTTATGTAAATGGCTTTCATTACACTTTGCCTATTTTTGCCCTTTGAGAAAATACAATGCCCTGATACCAACAGGTGTGTATAAGTGATCGGTTTGGGGACATTCACTTTATCTATCATAGGATCATATACCTAGGGCTGGAAGGGACCTCGGGACCTCAGAGGCTAACTAATCTAACCTTTTAAATTTATAGGTATTTCCTAATTCATTCTGATCTCTCTGTGGGTTGTGTCAAGCTGTTAATGGAGCAAGTATGTTTTATCTTCAACTTAAGATAGAAATGGAAAGGTTAAATAAATTAATGAATCACAATCAAAAAGTCAAGGCAGAAATTCAGTGCTTTTCCACAGTGAGGTTCTCAGTATTTTTGAGTGTTTTCGTAGTTCATCCCAGATTCTCAGAGTTGGAAAATTATAATAGTACTTCAGATAAAACACACAGAACTAGACTGTTAGTTACGTCGGGGGAAAATGTAACTTTCGAAATTGAAAGAAAGTTACAAATGTTTTTCTGCCTCAGATCTCATTTGGTATTTGCCTAAGATACTTCAGAAAATTAAGGAAAGTTTCACTTCAGCCTTCAGAGAATACACTAAAGATTCACAAACCTTGTCTATTGATAATCTATCATTTATTTTTAATAGTAGCAGTTACTGAGTCATTTTCTTTTGATATATCTGTTTTTTACTATTTTCGAATAAAAAAAGAAGACATACATTCTTTTTACTTAAATGTACTTAGTATTTCATTTTTTTCCCTGTCATTTTGTAAAATTAATAAATCAGAACTGATTTGAGAGTTTTTTTACCCCTACATTTTCATGTCTTTGTTCTGGGACTACCTTCACAAAGCAAATGAGGAAAATACATCTTATGCTTGCTTTGTGAACTTATTTTTCTAGGAATGCTACTCTTCTATTGACTTTTTTTTTATTAGGCAATTGGGGTTAAGTGACTGGGGTTAAGCCCAGAGTCTTATAGCTAGTAAGTGTTATGTGTCTGAGGCTGGATTTGAACTCAGGTCCTCCTGACTCAAGGCCCGGTGCTCTATCCACTGCACCACCTAGCTGCCCCTCTTTTATTGACTTTTAACAGTGCATATTACTCCAAAGGTTGAATAGCCAGTTCCCCTAAGTTTTTGCCAGATATTTGAGAACAGAAGTAATCAGACAGGAGACTGAGGCAGATATTTGATTTACAGAATAAGCAACAAAGCATATAATCAAGATTTTTGTTTTCAAGTACATATACTAAAGGACTGTGGTTAAACCCACGGAGCTACGCTAAAGTACAAAACAATTTTATTTTTGTTTTATTTGTTGATACAAGCAATTAGATATTTGTTACATCCATATATGTCAAAATAATTTCATTAGCTTTGCTTAATGTTTTCCTTTCAGTTGTTGTTATTTAACAGAGAAAGGAACAATATTTAGAAATGAATTTTCAGTTTGACACCATAAAAAATTCCAGGATTTTACCATAAGACTTTAGGGGAAGGGGCATTTATTTTTCATTTGGCTGGAAAATAATTACATGTAGGGATGACCTATGAGACAAAACAAAAGGTAATGGATTGGAAGAAGATAATGTCCAATTAAGACAATCTAATTCTCAAAAGCACCCCACTGGGCTCAGGCAGCATAAGACCTAAGAGCATGTAAGACTTTAAAAGGAAATGACTTACACCAAATACCTGAAAGTTAGGATATTGCCTATTAAAAACATTGTTTGTGTGTCCGCTGATTTAAGTTAAATTCCAGTTGATATTAAAATTATAGCATCTCTTCGCAGTCACAATCCCTTATTCTTCCTTCTGTTAACTAGAGTTGCTTCTGAATTGTTGCTGCCTTTTTATAACCTGGAAGTGATAAAACATCTTTCTTTCCTTTTTTGAGGAAAAGAAACATTATGTTAATATCTAGATTTTATTTTGAGAGGCCCATGAAATGTATATAAATTTTAGGCTAATTGTTTAGCTTTATTTGCATTCATCTTGGATGTCTATTTCTTTGAGGGTTTTATTTTTTTACTGTTTTAAAAACATTTTGTAAACAAGGTAGAAATCTAATTTAAATGGCATTTTCATTTTTAAAAATTTTTCTAACTTTCATTAAGGTCATTCTTACAATTCATGTTTTCATTTTTCTTTCTCTAATCCATTATCATTACGATTGGAACCTTTTTTCTTTCATTTAATTTCCTGCACAGTTATTAGCATAACATGATCTGTTTCAGGATTGTCTTGGGGATCATCACAAAGAAGAACATATTAGAGCATCTCGAGCAACTAAAGCAGCACGTCGAACCCTTGGTGATTAGATATATCAGATCTCCTAATTAGACACCTTAGAAGTCAGGAAGCATGAAACTTGTGAACTGTTCAGTGTTCTCTTACCCTATATCTGCTGAACAACAAAAATCATACCATGCAATCAATTTATATTTGTTTCAGACAAATTCTAACTGTAAAATAAACTTGGAAATGTGTGCAATTCCATGCACAGAAATTAAGCCATGGCTACTTTTCTTATCAAAATTGTTAGTTTTAATGTGTACAGTGCAAGAAGTTGAAGGTGTAAAGTGGTATTGGAGATTGCTAAAAAGGACATCTGGCAGGTCAGCTTGGTTTAGTGGTTGCATCAGGTTTAGAAGAAGCCTAGCTAGCATTGGTTCTCCCCAGTCAATAATATTCTTGTATTAAAAACAGTCTATTGAAATATTTTTTTACTGATCTTAGCAATGTAAGGATTGCTGATCATGGCAAAAGAAAACTCACTGGAGGTCTTTTGTCAGTTATCAAATCAGAGCATACTTTGTGTGTATATGTTATTAGTCTATTCTGCCATGCACCATAACCTTCAAAGTCATGTCTTTTTAAAAGGAATGAATTATTTTTCTTTTGGTGATTCAGTGTATGTCTTGCCATTTCATTATTGAATTGTGCCTAGATCCATGTACATGTTTCCAGTATACCATGAACCACTCCTGAGGTCAAATGCACTTTTATTTTTACTGGCTTCATGTCCTGGCTGTTGTGTTAACTAAGAACAATTTTGTTATTTTACCCTAATTATTCCTTAGAAATTGTCTTTTCCCTGCATTAGTCATACTTGTATTAAGTCTGTCCACCCAATTTGCTGCTTGAGCGCACAACTTATTGTGTACTCCTATTGTATGCTAATATTTCACAAGTGTTTCATGCATCCTTTTAAAACAACAACAAAGTACTAACCAGAATAATTTGGGCAGCTGCTCATTCATTCTGCTTCTGCTTCTCCTGTGATATCTTTTAGGATTGCTTTGTGCCTTGATTTCTCACTTAACTTTTAATACAAGCTAACCACAAAGATTTTCATTAAAGCACTGTAATTAAATTCTTTGACCAAAGTCAAGAAAGGCAAACATCAGTGAGCATGGGAGAATCCTGGGGGTATCAGATATGTTTATGAGGGGGAAGTTCTGAAGCTTGGAAACTAAGTGTGTGTAAGGACTCTTTTATGCATTTTGATCTCAAATGTATGTGCTTTCATGAAGACAGCATCTTAATAAATGGACAACTCTTAATAATTTTGGGGGGTAGATAGGTGGGAATTGATTGACTTCGGTTTAAAAGGGTGGGAAATAATTTGGCTATCAAATTATTACTGTTTTCTTGCTAGTGTTAGGAAAATAAATCTTTCTCCTAGATGGGATAGATACCATTTCCTATTCATGCTTCTGGTTTTTTGTTTTGTTTTTGTTTTATCCCTCCTCTTTTGTTCCTTTTTTGTTGGCATACATTGATCAAGAATTTCATTCTCTGGAAGCCAAATAAAAGAGTGCTCCAAAGGGGCATGGATCTGTGTGTTTCAGCGGGAAGGAGACCATGCTACTAGTGACCATCTCAGTTGGGTGGGATTCCACTCTTCTTTTCTGACTAAATGATGGTTACTTGTCATGTTATTAGTACTTTTTACAAATAAACTCTGTGTTTGAAACACAGAAATCAGGCCGCTTGCTTTGCTCTCTACTCCTGTTAACAAAAAGGATTTGCTACAGACTTAGCATCACTTCCTTGCTTCCCTTTTATTTTAATAGCCATCTTCTTTTTGTCCCTTTCAGGCGCCTCCTTGGTATCATAACAAAAAAAGATATCCTCCGTCATATGGCCCAGATGGCAAACCAAGACCCCGCTTCAATAATGTTCAACTGAATCCCATAGCTGAGGAGAGAGAGGAAATGGAAGAGGAAGTTCATTTGCTGAATAGCACAACGCTTTAACCTGAGGGAATCTTTTTTTTTCTTTTCTTCAAAACAAGGCAGCATGTGAGAAGCTGGGCTTTGGCAACATAGTTTGCAAACCGTACTGCTGGAATCAGGAGTTGGTTTGGGGAGGGAGAAGAGAGAGGAGAGAAAAGAAAGTGAGGGTTTTCACTGTCCAATAGGGAGCAACAGCCTATCAACTCCTATTATTCTGCACTGGATGCATTTTACTACGTCTGATTTGCCATGATAGTGCAGTATGAGCTTCAGCGGAGATGATGGGGGTTCTCCAACACCCAGCCTGTAATTAGTATTGAAAAGACATGTTAATAGTCCCTGTTTCTGGAGGGATCACTTTGAATTGAGCCATCTTTGAGACTGCAATGTCTTATCCCCGCACCCCTCCCCTTTTTTAACCATTGAAACTATTGTGTTTAACTCATGAAATGTATAGTTGTTTGCATCACCTTTCTACATTCCAGAAGTTGTTTATTTCTCTCTCTCCTGAGCTGTAACAAAGCCTCTTTAAAATTGGTGTGCCCTTTTGAAGCAGTCCTTTCTCATATTGAGATGTACTGTGATTTTACTGAGGCTTCATCACAAGAAGGGAGTGTTTCTTGTGCCATTAAACATGTTTGTACATCCTTAAATGCTTGGACAGTACAGACGCTTTGACAAAAGCTGATCAAACAGGTATAACCTTGAATGAAGCATGTATGAAATTTTGTATGCTGTGGTTTAAAATAATTTAACAAAAGTAAACTTGACTTTCAAGGTTAAACTAGGATTTATTTTTATTTTTGTTTTTTTTTGCTTCAGACTTCATGGATAATGTGGTCTTATGCAAACTTTTTGTATTATTGATAATACTATCATACCAGTGCTGTGCAGCATAAGGAAAAAAAAATACTGCTGCTCAGATAGTAAAGAGAAGGAATTATTCTGTATAGCTATATCTTGGCATTAAGTGCATGCTATAAAACACTGGACTTTTTTTCCTTGAAATTAGATCAGTCATTTTTTCTTTTCCTCAGAAACAATGGAAAATGTTCCATTGCTGACACTGAAGAAAAAATGTAATTCATAACTTGCACAAAATGTATATTTTTTTCTTAAAATTTTACCATTTTTATTTATATTTTTATGGATTAAAATTTATTAAATATTGATCAGTTAATATCTCACTTAAATAATTTTACCTTTTTAATGTGATTTTTATAGACTAATTCAGACTCCTTTACAAATATGGAGGAATGAACAAAAGTTTACATTGGGAATGAGGGTTTAAGAAGAGGTTGTTGTTATTTTGCTTTATGATTGAATAATATATGCATAATGGCTTTTTCTGTCCTAACTTTCACTGCCATCACTTGGAAACCTTTTCTGGTCTATTCACATTCTGAAAAGTGACACTTGAACTGGAAAGCTGCAAATATTGCAGAACATTTTATATATACATATAAATAAGTGCAAACCATTGTCCGACATTTTATTTTGTGGTCATCTAGATTTGTAGTAGCAAAAATTTCAGCTGAAATAGAGTTTTTAGGAATGCGTAGAACTATTACTTGAAACATTGGATGGAATTTAAAGTTATCCACATCATATTCTTTAGTAGGGTGGGCAAAATGCTGGAATGGCTTTTTTGGGGGGAAGGGGAATCCCAAAAATATCTGCCTTAAATTGTGAGATAAAATGATTCAGTATAAGGAAAGATAGCACAAAAAAGGTAACTCACCCCCATGGGATTGACCCAACTGTACTATGCTGATGTGTTTTTCATTGGGAAAATGAAAAATCTGTCATAGTAAAATGTTTTCTAAGTCTGGAGAGGTAATTAGTCCAATTCACAGGCCTTGGAATTGGTTCATCAATTTATTAATTTAATATTAATGTACCTTCAAAACAGTGAAACTATGGCAGGTAAAAATTTTGGAGGTTAAGCATTTCAGATACCTATTTGAAACATTGCTAGCTTTCTTGCTTGATACAAATGATTATTTTACCTTAGTTGCTTAAACCTATTGGCATGCCTGCTGTTGTTAAAATAGATAACCCCTTTCAGGCTCTTTTGGACATCTATAGTCAGCAAAACTATTTCTGAATTACAGTTTTGCACATTTCAAACTTTTCAGAAGTCAATATACAATTATCACACTGGACCCTAGGGACTGTCAGGGTTTGGATGGCTGCCTATCTTTAGTTTAAAAAATTTAAAGGAAGCACCAAATTCCCAGCATGTGACTAATCATGAACCTAAACTTGAAATACATTTCATTTTCCAAAGTTATTTTCTGGTTTCTACCCACATCTTCATTGCCACTCTTCTCATAATCTGACAATTCAGGATGAAGATTCTGTACATTAATTTTGTTCCTTTGCATGAAATAAAATAAGTTGGTCATCCTGTTGTGTCTTCCTGCTGAAATACAGAAGAAATGCCATGTTTCTGTTGTGGTCATTTGTTACAGTTATGGTTTGTTGCCATCAGTGCTTTCAGTTTTGAGACATTAAAGGGTGGGAGTGGGGGGTAGGGTCTCCTTGTTTAACTAAAGTGATGACCATGAAACACATGTGCCTGTGCCATTGAAGTTAATTGACCAGTGTCATTGTTGCAGCCACCTTGTTCAAGCTTCCTCATTTGAGCAGATGTGTTTGGTAAGAGGAGGGAGCAAGGGTGTCAGCATCTTTTATTTTTGCTTTTGACAATTGTTTCAAACTAAGTAAGACTACTTAGTTTGTTCATCTGATGTTGCCCAGATATGTACTTAATATTCATCTTAATGTTTTTATTTATTATACTAGTGTAGTAAAGCTGCATACCATCACAGCAAAGTGATGACTTGATTAGAAAAACCTATTAAAATGTATGTATCAAATTTTTGTTTGGTTTTTAATTACATTCAGTAAGACAATCTTCCCACTTCCTTTTGCAGTATAGGCTTAGTACGCCTAAGTTACTGCTACTTCACGTGGAGCCCAAATAATAGCTTTTCTCAGGATACAAAATTGTTTTCTAATTTTCAGGTGAGAAGCAACAGTGGATATCAAACTTCAGCAGGAATATTTGCCTGCTATTGTTTATAGAGCCACCAGTTTTTAACAGCTGTAAGCAGAAAAGATTTGGCCTAGGTTAAGCTTTCACTATTCACTAAATACAACTATTTTAAACTTATGAGTTTTTCCATGTTCATTAAGAAAATTGCAAAGTCAATAACTGATTTTTTAAAGAAGTTTTAAGAATGAACAAAGTTACAGATCAGTGTGGTAAATAACTGTCACTCCCTCTTAGGCTTCATTTTGTTAAAGAATCAGGAAAATAGTTAGCTATAAAGGCCACATTCTCTGGACCACAGTGAGGTAAACACTTTAGCAAAGGTTTTATCCCATTCCCCTGGGGGCTTAGACACATTCCTGGGTAAGTCTTAAAGATTAGGTTTCTTAGGGTTTCAGCTTTTCTCTGGAGTTGTACTTGGATATGAAAAGGGTATTGATTGGTGGAGGGTATTGATTAAGGATATTCAGAAGATAGAGTCAACAACTGTATATAGTTTCGCACAAGATAAAACAAATAATTAATTGAAGTTGAGTGGGATATGGTCAGGTCAGACTTTATATTGCATCCTTACTGTGTCAGGTACATATAATTCAAAGTAGGTTAGGGTCATAGCACTTAGGACTGCATTATGAACTGCCATAAAGGAATTCTCTAGGAAATTTAAAAATGGCTGGCACACAATAATAGCTGTTAAGTTGAGTGCTGTAGAACATGGTAGGGCAGGTTCTTCAGGTAGAAGCTATCTGTTGGATCATTTTTAAATAGCAGGAATGTAGGAAAAATAAATAACCAATCACAGAAATTTGGCTTTAAAGGTAAAGGAGTTTCCAAAAAAGTCTGGTATAAAATAGGGTTACCCTGGTGTTCTGAAACAGATACATAGAGATAATTTGGTATTAAAATTTTGTAGCTGCCTGTCAAAGACTTTTCAGGAAACACTTTCACAATTGTTAGTCTAACTGCAATTCATGTAAGTAGTGTCCAGTTTTTGTGTTCTTGGTTATAGTCAAAAGTTCACAAAAGGCAAGATAAGCGTTTGTACAGTCTGAGTAAGAATGAAAAGCTTATTTTTTAAGTCTTTGCTTCCCTTTATTTGTCGTAGCTTATAAACTGAACAAATGCAGGGAAGGAATACAATGTAAAATTGAATAATTTTTCATGACTCTAAAAAAGAATCTTTTTGTTTTTTGGGTTTTTTTTTTGGTGAGGCAATCGAGATTAAGTGACTTGCCCAGGGTCACACAGCTAGTAAGCATCAAGTGTCTTGAGATTGGATTTGAACTCGGGTCCTGACTCCCAAGGCCCAGAGCTGTATCCACTGTGGGCCACCTAGCTACCCCAAAAAAGAATCTTTTTTAACAAGTTATATGAGAATCTTTTTAACAACAGTTATATAGAGGAGTAAAGTGGTGTCAGTAAGTCCAGCTAGATATTTATTAGAAAATACTATTCTTATTAAAATAAGGTATGAATGAGCCAATTGTTCCTATGAAATTTTCAGTCTGCTCATGTTTAAAGGGAGCAAGATACATTGAAGTTACTAGAGAAATAACAGCTTTTAAGATACGACTCAACCATTTCTGTCAAAAGTGAGAAATCTACTAGCTTCCTAAGTTCCTGTTAAGTATTTAAAATATTAGATTTGTACTTTTTGAAAAGTTTTTAGATGTGACAGGTCATTTCTTCAACAAATATTAGTTGAATACCTAATACGTGTAACATTTGGAAAATACAAAGTATAAATACGTGGTCCTGACTAGTCTAGTTGTAGAAAGATAAATGTAGAATGTGATTGAATAGCATAAGGATCTGCCTACCTCTGCATATTTAGGTTGACAGTATCACTTGACAACTCTTATACTAGGGGAGCAGTGTGAGATAATAAAGAGCATTAGACTGGCAATTAAGAGACCTTGATTATAATCCTAGCTCTGTGCACTTAGGTAAATCAGAACTTAGGTGGACCTCAGTGTAGCTTCCTGTAAAAAGAGATGGCTGGATTAAATGATCCCCAGAATCCCTTTTAGCTCTCAGATTTGCTCATTCTATTATTTGTAGCTTTAACAAGCTGCTTTAGTTGGCACTAGTACCTTTAAGGGTACTGCTACTGGGCCTGGTCTTAGCATTTTAGTTTCAAAATTATAATAGTTCAATGAGAATCTAGAAAAAACAGTACCCAATTCACAAAGCCATATACTAAAAAGAATTAAAATAATAGGATATGTATAGACTGGCCGGGTGAATTTTGGGACCATAGCAAGTTATAAAAGCAATTTAACTACTAATTGTATTAGTTATAATCTGCATTGGTGAAGTACCACACATATAACCATAAATCTTCCAAGCATTATTTAACATTGAGGTAGGCAGTATAACTAGCATTCTCCTAATTTCACAGATGGAAAAGTCTTGGGGAAGTTTCTGACTTGCCTATGGTAACAGCAAAAATGAGTTGGGAGCTTAAAACTCAAACCAAATGAATAACATTTGAGGAATTGAGGATTCTAGCTTAAAGAGGGGGGAAGAGCAGGGAGGGGATGACAGTCAACCTCAAAAATTAGAAGGGGTGCCATGCAAAACAGGGATTAGTTTTGTTCTACTTAGCCGTAGAGGTCAGATTTTTGTTCAACATGAGCCTCCTAACAATCAGTGCTATTCAGAAGTACATTGGCTGTCTCAAGAAGGCAGTGGGTTTCCCTCAAGCCATAGCCCTTCGAGTAGTTTGGCTGACCCCCCCCTTTTTTTTTTCTGGGGAAGGCGGAGTGGGGCAGGGAGGAGGAAATGTTAGAGGAGTTCTTGTTCAGAAATTTTCATTCTCTGAAGGGTAAGTGTGGGTCCACCCCAGCTTTTGAAAGCTTTACACTGGTTGATAGTCTTTTACTATTCACATATTAAAAAAAAAAAAATTTGGCTTAATTTTATAAGCTTTATTTAATCAGTTTTCAAATTCTTTCAAAAAAGAAAAACCAAAACTATTTAATAGTTTAGTGCTCCAAACATTATCAAACATTTAACATTTTAAAACATTGCTTTGTGTACCATCTTTTTCCCCCCTTCATGTTGCAAGTTGATCTAACATTTAACATTTTAAAACAAACACTTTTATACCATTTCCCATTCATGTTGCAAGTTGATCTACATTTTCTTTGCTTCTGTTGGCCAAATGAGCTTCAATGATCTCTGCAAACAAATTCCTCTTCAACAGCTTATAGGCAAGAGGTAGAAGCTGACCAATAACCTTGTGAAAATACTGGAAATTAAAACATAAAAAACTTATCCAAAGATAACACAGGCGCGTCTATAGCAGTTGAAAATGTTATCTACTGAACTAAGCTTTCTTGCTCTTAAGTCTATTACAAATCCATTGACATTTGGTTTAAGTATAAGATAGAGAGAGAAGCTAAGCAACTTTGTTCATCAGTGTAAGTGAAAACGGGAAATGGAAAAACCATAATTTTATATGTCAAGTAGGATTTTTATACCAGAATGTTTTAACACTATAGTGAAGAAAATTTAGCCAAAAGCATCAAACTTGCTGCCTGCAAAACTCCTGAGTATAGCTAGAACCAGACTAAAATGTAACTGGGAATGTTGAACTAAAAAAAAACACAACACATAAAATACCATTTTTAGTGGAGTTTGGCACCACTATTTAAACAAAACCAAAGCCATGGTAATACAAATTGTTTTCCCTTAGATTTTGAAAAGAGAAAATTAAAAAGCAGGTTGGTTTTATAAAAACATGAAAAGACTAGTATGAAATAAGGCAGAGTGAAACAAGCAGAACTAAAAGAACATTGTATACAGTAATGGCAATACTACTTGAAGAGTAATGAATGACTATGCTATTCTGAATAATACGGTCATTTAGATCAACTACAAAGGAGTTGGCCTTCTCTAATGTGGACTTGGGAAAGAGGGAGGGAGACAACTTGGAACTCAAAATGTAATAAAAAAGTATTTCTAAAAAAGACAAAAAGTATATGAAAAAGTTTTAATTAAATGTATTTATGAAAACAATGAATTCTAATGCATAAAGCACTGAGACTACTATATGATGTAAACTGAAAACATTTAAAAACGTGATTTTTAAAAAAAATTTTAATTTGTATTTTAATTTCAAATTTAATTTTTATTAATTTAAATTAATTTAATTTTTAATTTAATAAAGCTTGCTTTTAATGCTTAATGCAAAGCAGATGTAAACAAAAGATTTTTAAAGAGTCCAGAACACAACACAAGGCAACAAGACTGAATGACATTTCAGTTGTCATCTTAATACAGATCCTAATCTACAATCTATAATCCTAACATACATCCTAATGCAGCAAAACCTCCCTGGCTCTGCTATCCAAGGGATCTGTAAGAGGCTCTTGGCGTCTCCTTTTATTTCCCCCAACAAGAGTATAACCAGAGATAAAGCCCAGCAGCATTTCCTTGATTGTGATCAACTGAATTGTGATTCAATATAAAGGATATTTTTTTCCTAATTCCTTTCCTTTTACTTCATATTTCAAACATGACAGTTTTAATAAGGCAACATGCCATGAAGGATAGAATGGACTCTAGGTCAGGAAGAACTGAGTACAAGTACCACCTTTCACTGATAGATTTAGGCTGAAAGGGACTTCATAGAGGTCACTGAATCCCAGGAGACTCAGTGACTTGCCCTGCCTGTCTTACACAGCTGGAATTTGAATATAGGTCCTTGTTGATTGCAAGCTTACGGTTTTATCCATTTACACCACAATGCTTCACTCCCTATGTGACTCTGGGTTAAATATCATTTCCCCTCTAGAAATTCCCTAATACTTAACTACTGGGTCACAGAGTTTGCACCTGTCTTGGTAGATTTCTTTATAAAGAAATCTTTTACAATTTTAAGTAAAGACTTAAAATTCTCAGTGAAGTGAATAGCAAACACAAGCTAACATGCTAATGAAAAGCATATAAAGGTCACAAACTTTAGTAAGTGTCCTAAATTTCTGGAAATTCATTTTATGGGAAAATTAACTTGGAGGCAAAATATTTTATATTAACACCACACTAATTACTCAAATCTGCAATGCATTTGCTAGCATACAAATGAATTTCAAATAATATAAATACTGCTTAAAGTACGACCTGAATTGCCACACTACCCTGAAATACATATGCATAAAGAAACTGATACAGTATTGATGTAGTACTCACCTGGGAGCCATAGCAAAAAAGGTCAATTCCTAGCTCGAGTCCCATTCCATAGTCACATTCATCATTAGCAAATTGAACAAAAGTCACCATTTCCTGAATGGGGGCAAATGCTTTCATTCTTTGCTCATCGCTTGAAGCCTCAACAATCATTTTGCAAATTATCTTAAGATTAGCTGAAATGAGACCACATTTAAATAAGATTGCAATTTTTCAATGTGATTAATGGGTAGGTTACAATTTTTTTTTAAAGTGGAAAATGTGTTTATTAACTTCTAAACTTCCCTCATAAAAGGCCATAAAAAATTCTCTATTTTCATTATACATGAGTCTAACTTCTTTTTACATAGTTACAATGGCATATATATTTATAATTTAGCTTTTCATAATACATTGTTAAAGTACATCATGAGTTCTGTTAAATATTCATAAGCACTCATTTTCAAGTCAAATACTTGGAAAAAAATTTTTTTCTACGTACACAGTTTAGGAGATTAGCATAAAATGCTCTTTATTAAGAGATGTATATTTATGTATATATACATATACGCAGACACACACATACACATATATATATATGATCAGAAGATCAACAGAACATTTGCTAAAATTTCAGTATTTCTATGCAGTGTTGCCTGTCTTTTTGCTTTGGTCACACATAAACACAATCCTTTAGTCCTGAAAATTAGGTCAGTATAAATGTAGGGCCATATTAGTTCAGCTAGCTGTTGTATCAAACTAATATTCTTAGGTTACAAATTTTTATATGAAACATCTCAGCAGCAAAAAGACCCACAGAACCTCTAGTATTTTATTTGTAATGACATAATCTTGAATGTCAATTTTTTAGTCTTCCTGTTCAAACTAACATTGTTTTCACTTTGGATTCTGATGAGAACATGACAAAGTATATCCCTTTTATTTTAAGTACATTTCACTGGGTTTGGTTTCAGTAGTAAAAGTTTTCATAGGCTACTTCATAATAGCAGGAGAGAAAGTTATCAGAGAAGAAAACCCTCTATTCAAGAGAAACAATTAACTGAAGGGGACATTTTAGCCACGTTGTGTTTAGTCGTGTCTGACTTTTCATGAACCCATTTGGGATTTTCTTGTCAAAGATACTGGAGTGCTATTTTCTTGAGGCAAACAAGGTTAAGTGACTTGTCCAGGGTCACATACCTAATAAATGTCTTGAGGCCAGACTGGAACTCAGAAAGAGGAGTCTTTCTAGCACTCTATTTACTGGGCCACCTAGCTATGTTAGACCCATAGAAAGGGCTGAACTGAAAAAAAGCTGCCTGTGTACTTTTTCTGTACTCTTGTTTTAGCAGTAAAGCCTTTAATGAAAAAGGTGTTCTCCAACATAAGAAAAAAAAAGATCCATTCCTGAAGATGAAGAACTGAGGAAGTCAAATGAGAGAGCTGAAAGGGACTAGCACAGCCACTTCATTTTACAGATGGGGAAGTTATAGAGGTATTAAACAACCGGCCTAAAGTTACGCAAACTAGCAGCAGATTGAAGACTAAAATCGAGATTTCTTGATTCCTACTCTGGTCTTCTTTTGTGGTATAGGGGAAAGGGTTCTGAATTTGGAGTCAGTAGACCTGGGTTTGAACTTTGACTACACTGAAACTCTCAGTAGGGCATTCATTTCCTCATCTTTAAAGTGAAGGCACTAGACCAGATAACCTCTAGAGATATCTTCCATCTCTTAAGTCTATGATCCTACTATTTGGTGTGTTTCTGAAAAGGTTTCTGAAACTACCCACTAAGTGAAAAATATATTAGAGGAAAAAAAAAGATTCTATATACGTTGTAACTACACAACACCTAAGAACTCAGTCACATACTGAAAGAGAAAAAAATATCTCATAGGTTAAAAAATAAGAATGAAACTGAACACTCCCTTTTGGTTTGTCCTTTGTTCTCACTTTTTTTTTGATGAGGCAATGGGGTTAAGTGACTTGCCCAGGTCACAGAGCTAGTGAGTGTTATGTGTCTAAGGCCAAATTTGAACTGAGGTCCTCCTGACTCCAAGGCCGGAGCTCTATCCATTGCGCCACCTAACTGTCCCTTGTCCTTCGTTCTTGAAGAAGACCATGACACTTTGGCAGGGACCTATTGAGGCTGGTGACTTTGCACAGTCCTCCCTCTCAAATCAAAGTCAATTTCAAGTCATGTCATCATCTGCCTCATGGCATGGTCCTCCTTCCAGAATGAAGGACAAACCGTAACCTGTGAGTATTCTAAGCTGCCTGAATGGACCCAGCTGGCCAGTTCCAGTTGGGCAACTCAGCTTGTCTTCTCTTCTCCTCTCCCCTTACCCGAAGGTGTTCTGCCCAAAGGATGGTAATTTTTGATGGCCGAAAGCTACCTAGTTTACTTGGGTTTTATTGACTAGATTTCTTTCACAAAGACCAAGCCTTAAACCCAGGTCACTCTGGATTGAACACTCCCAAAACTGGTGAACTACCATGTGATGTGGGAGGGAGAAAAGAGCATGAGGATTGGCTACCTGACCTGAGAATCTTCAATTTGTTGTTATATGGATTTTACCAGAAGAGCTCTTTTTTTTTTCCCTCTCTGGATATCTAAAAAGGTTCTGTTTCCTTATCTTTATTCCTACTGCTTCCTTAAAGTATCAGACAACCTTCATGGTTTAGTGGAAGAATATGGATTGAAAGCCACTGGATCTTACTGTCTGTGTGATTATAAGCAAGTCCCTTCAGTTTCCTCAGGGGGTAATAACAAACGGCGAACTACTTCACATGGTATTATAGATTATACACCTCTATGTAAGTGTAATTTTTGTGTCCTTTTCTCATGTATAAAACAAGGAGACATTTAAATGAATCTGAAACTTTTTCTAAAACTATGAGGCAATTCCTCATAAATAAGGCTCTTGGCCAAGCATTCTCTTCACCTTCCACATCTTTGGAAGGTCACAGGCAGATAGATCCATTTTCCCTGGGACTATGTGGAGACCATATGATATTTCATTTCCTACTTAATTAATGGAATAATTGTTTTTTAACCAAGTTCTAAAAGGACTGAAGTAATGACAGATATCTATTATGACACTTTACAATTTACAAACCATACAACCTCATGAAGTAGACAGTACAAGGAGAAGCTTCTGGCTCAGAGACTGTGAGCTTGTTCAAAATAACAGAATGAGCAGCAGAAGTTAGACCCAGAACTCTAAGACTCTAAGAACTCTATGCTTTCCCCTATATCAACGTGTCACATAATTTCAATTTTAGCACTATTTTGGAACATACTGAACAGTTTTTTTATCAAAGTTATAGAGTTTCCTTTCAATTTTATTTTTAAAAGTCTGCTACATTCTAAAGCACCATTTCATTACTTAAGCAGCTGAACATTTCCAGGCCCACAATGGAAGCTGAAAAAAATAAACAGGACTAACTTAAACTTCTTTTATTATTCATTCACTGTTACTCTCATAATAAATTCACACAAACTGTTGTGATTTCCATACCATGACTCTGCTGAGGACTGAGGAGGAGCATGAATTGATTGTTGTTCAGGACAGCAAGAAGACTACCGGGATACTAGAAGAGCACACAGTCTGACACACAATCCTACCTCAAGCTTCCAAATGTTCTAGACATACTTTCCCAGATATAAAGACATGTTTAGTCTTTATATTTTAGAAAAATTCAACATTATCTCCTAATTACCACCCTGTATTCATTGAAGATCTAAAGGTAGGGCTGCTAAAAGGTACCTGTTGGAAGGAATCAGGGTTCTAGTTCTGATGGGAACAGAAATCTAAAGGAAACCAGAAAGAACGGGGTACCGTGTGTGTTGTTGCCAGGGAGATATTAGGCCACAAGGATAAAATCAGATCTTTTCTAAATGACCAACAATGTTTCACACCTGTCAAAATCATTGTTTTTCTGTATGAAATCACTGCTATAGACAAATAATGAAAAATCAGGGGGGGACCAAGAAGGAAAAAATAACTTAAACATTTACTTAGACTGGAGTTCAAATCCAGCCTTGGGCACTTGCTAGTTGTGTAATCCTGGACAAGTTACTTAACCTCTGCCTGCCTCAGTTTTCTCAACTGTAAAAAGGGGATGATAATAGTGCCTACCTCCCAGAGTTGTTTTGAGGATCAAAAGAGATACCTATGCAGTACTTATCAAGCACTTATCACAGTGCCTGGCACATAGTAGGCATTTAATATATGTTTGTTTCCTCCTTCCTTCTAGACTTTTCACTTGGGATCTCCCTAGATGAAAGGAGTGCTCCACACTAATAATCCTATTTCCTGGCAAATTCCCAAACTTTACAAATTAAAGCATTTAAACAATACACAATACACAACACACACACATACACTCTCTCTCTCTCTCTTACATTACCATCTGTTTCAGGGAGGTCTCTGTATCCAACATCATTTTTATCTATCGGGACAACCAGGCCTGCACTGTGAAAAGTCTTCGTCACTACCTAACACAAAGAGAGAGAAAAAAGGTACTTAATTTAACCCTGAGAGAAAGAACTCAAATATTTCTGACCATGTATGACCATGACTTCAGGAAAATAAGACCCTTGGGCGAAAGGATTATATGTAATAATTTCCTCCATACAAAGCTAGTTAAATATCAACTGTGTGAATTACAATACAGTAAAGCAACTAGTTTTTTAATCAACACACTGGCACACAAATCTGTATCATGCCTTGTCCTAACACCAACAAACTGTCTCTGGAAGGGAAAAGAGTACATCTCTAAAACCACCAGGGTCTAAATATTTTTCTTCCAAGTGATATCATTATAAACTTATATCTGAAAGAAGAAATAAGAAAAAAGAAAAAGGAAGGGAAGGAAGGGTGGGAGGGAAAGGGGGGAGGGAGAGGGAAGGGAAAAAGGAGAGGGAGAGAAGGGCCAAGTAACAAGAAACTATTTTTATTTCGAAAATTCAAGTTCTCAAATTGCCAAAATGGGAAGACTTAGGAAGATAAAATATCTCAATTACTAAGTATTTCAACATTTTAAAATATACCATTCTAGCCCATAATATTCCTGTTTTATTTGATTAGCTACAACTTCTCCAAGAACGCAGTTTGGTTCATTCCTTAGCCTATTCTCCCTATCTATAACTCCCAGGGCACTATTCTGATACAGTTATTCTTTAAATCATCTGCTTCAACTACTTTAAATTTCTCTTAACAGAAGTCCAAGAAAAATCAATTAAGATTTTTTTACTTCTTACTAAAAAAAAATCCACTAAAATTTTCAGAGACAGAAAGTGTTGTCTCAAATTCTTTTTTGATGCAAATGTACAACTCACAAGGTATTAATCATATAGAGGTACCAGGTGGAAGGGCATGACCAAAGTAATATTTTAACTAGATTAGGGGTGGAGAGAGAAGGAAGAGGACTTTCAAGGTATAACCCATCCATAGAACACTTTCTTCCTACTTATTTCGCCCCCCCCACCCCAACTCCCTTGACTTACTCTATTACTTCACTATCTAATAACTTTTCTATACTGATTCCTTAAGTCTTCCCATACTACTCCATCTCCTCAAGGGTCACCATCAAATCCCCAAACTTTTCCAAAGTTGCTATCCCTCTCTTGAAATTTCTCCAAACTTGTCTGAGTTTTCTATTACTAGTTTGAACAAACATACTTTAAGGCTACAATCTTTTAAAGTATCATATACATTGCTACAATATTATCATTGGCTTGTTGCAAAATAAATGTCATTTTCCAAATAATAATATATGCTTTTAGAGTATAAATTGCTATAATCCAAATTAAAGAGTAGGTATAGGTAAGAACCAATCATACACTTTCTAATGATAAAAATATCCTGCTATTTCCTCAAGTATCCCTAAATTCCAATATAAGACTATTTTTGTCTAAACTTAAAAATACTTTTGTCTAAGCTTATAATGAACCCCAAATACTTAGCACTCAGATGCTTAATGCTTACAATTGACTGAATAAACTATCACCCAAAGGGAAAAAAATATACATGTAGTTACCTGCAATAGTTAATTGCTTATGTTCCTACCCCAAATTTGAACCAAGATAGCAGGCTAGTAATATCATTATAGCTGTGATTTAGATAAAATTTTTAAAAACTTAAAAAAGACTCGTGGGACTTTATGAGATTCAGTCTCCCTGGGCCACTAAAAAGTTATGGAAGGAAAATATTCCTGAGGGGGAAGTAAATTATTTTATCTAAGCCTTTGTTTCTCTCAGATCAACTCAGAAGTGTATCTGGAAGAAAGTGAAATATTTATCTTCCCAGAAGCATAAAGAGTGACTGGAAAGTAGTAGGTGAGCCATCTTCTATGAAGCCAGAGCAGAAAGGTCGATTAGTATGTCCACGTATTTTTGCTATATGTTAATTTCACTAATGTCTGGAAATAATTTGTTTACATAAAATCTTTGTCAAAGAAAGATATTATTCTGGGTTTCTGCTAATAAATAAAACAGTACTGCTAGACAAGACCATGAGAGTTCATCTAGTCCAACCCCCTCATTTAACAAATGAAGAAACTAAATTCTCAATTCACCCAAGGTCATATAGTTAATGGGAAGGTTGAAATACCAGTTCTCTTTTAACTGTACCAAGATGTCCTGTTCTCAAAGTCGAGAGAAAATTCACCAATTTAGGTAGTGTGTGCTTATTATCTTCTTCTTAGCAGTCAATAAATACTAAAATAAACTAAGCTTCCTCAATTGGAATGAATGACTACAGTGAATTTCATGTCAATTTGACATCAATCAATGAATCTGCTAACAACTTTTCCTGTTTATGACTATTACCTCAAGTACCATCTTTAGCCAGATTTACACTTACACACTCTCTCTTCATTATTATGATGATGCTAAGAAAAAGAGATAGCAGTAAGACCAGAAGTTATGATAAATCATACTGGGATTCGCCATGGTGCTAAACAAGATCAAGTCCCATCACTATTGATTCTAAAACAATTTTGATTGCAGGAAACCTTATGAAAAAGAGTATGTCAGAAAAAAAAAGTCTGAAGATAAAATAGAAAGTTGACACATCTTTTCTCATCAGGGCAGCAGCAGCTACATACCACTGCTATCTAAGCACCATCCTTGCAGATGAAATGTTAGGACAGACTGAAGTAGAATTAGATTGTTTCAGGGGATTAAGGAGGTACAGTCATATACAACTTACTTAAGAATGAAGTATTTTACCTTGCCTGGACTCTACAAATAAGCTATCTATTCATTGTGGTAAGAGACTAAATAAGATACCCTCATATTCCAAAACAGTATGAATACACTCACCCTGATAAGAACCTTTTCCGTAATAATGCCTTATATTTTCTCCAAAATAGCAGAATCTTTCTGGCTGCCTATAGCTAACTTCTCTGTTAAATATGAGAATGAGTTTACTAACAAAACAACAAAGGGAGCCACATCACAGCAATATCAGCTACTTACAAAAGAGATGCTTACATAGCATTCATTAGAAAACTACTGAAAGGAAATATGCTGCCATTAATGTTAAGGGAAAAGGAGGTAAGATAGTTTATGGTTACACAGGAGAAAGAATTGCTTCAGCATCATTCTTCAAAATGGAACTAATGGCTTATGCAAATGGTAAAGAACTCCATTACTTAAGTCAGTAGTAAAACATTCAACTGCACAAAACTATCCCCAAAATGTCACTTGAACCACAGTTCATCTTAAAAATAAAGAAGAATCCATTAGTAGAAAGTAAAAAAAAAAAAACCAAACCAAAAAAAGTTTTCCCTTGCCTTCACAAAATGTTAATTGGATAAAAAAAAATTAGAAAACGAGAAGTAAAAACTGGTTGGTATTTGTTCTGATGGTAGCAAAATCATTATCAGTGCAACAGATAAGCATCTACCTTCTGAGGTAAGGCTGCAGACAGAGCACATTTAACAACCCAACAGAACCATTCACTCTTCAGTGTTTCTTCCTGGTCAATGAGGTGATCAGGAAGCCCCAAAGCTACTGTTTGGATAACAGTATCCAGCTTTGTTTAGGTTAGGGATAGGGAAGGAAAGTATTGGTGTGAGAAGAAAGCAAAAAAGTTTCTACACAGGGATTGGTTGAACAGATTTAATCCATACTTTTTTATCTCTCTGTTTCATGCTCATGCTTTTTTGTTCCAAGGAATAACCCAGCTTTCTGGCTGCTTCTGTTAGTTTTTCATTTATGCTCTGTAAAAGATCAGTTTTCTTTTTATCTGTTTCCTCCTGAATTTTTTTCACCAAAAATAATCTGAAACAGAAGGGGAAGATTTCATTAATATTCCAAGTCATAAAAAAACTGTTAGATGTTTACAGGAAATATTTCTGCTACTAAGTTCACTCCAAAGTATAGTATAGTGACAGTTTAAAAGGAGGAATATAATATATTCACACTATGTATATTAGAGAATAAACAGGGTGATTACTGACAAACATTTGATTCAATAAATATTCATTAAGCACCTACTAAGTATAAGACACCACAGATACAAAGACAAGACCAAGGTGGGGAGAAATAACATGTACACAATTAAATATAAATTACATACAAAATAATACTAAGTAATCTGAACAAGGAGATCATACTAACAAACTTGGAGAATGAGGGAAATTGGGAAAAGCCTCATAAAGGCAGTGGAACCTAAGGTATGTCTTAGAAGAAGGAAGGGATTCTAAGAAAAGAAGGTGAGGAAAGAGTCCATATATGAGGGATTCCCTATGAAAAGGTGCAGAAGAGAGAAGAATGCTGTGCAAAAGGAAAAGCTAACCAGTCTTTTAACTAGAAATAATGGAAGAATAATGTGAAAGCTAGAAAAGGATGAGTTTTAGATACTAGGCTGAGGATTTTTTATTTTTTTAGCCCTAGAGATGATAAGAAGCCATTGAAAGGTTGGTGGGGAATATGGGTTGGATGGTGGAGAGGGGGAATGTGAAGTGGAGAAGGAGGGGACTGAAGAGAATAACATGGTTAGATCTCCATTTCAGGAATATCAATTTGGCAAATATTAAAGGATGGATTTGAGAGAGCAGACAGATCAACAAGAGGCTATGGTGATAGTCCAGGTGAGAGATGATGAGGAACTGGACTAGAGGCTGGACAGACAGAATCGACAAGGCCTAACAACTGGCTAAATATGGAGGATGAGGAAGAGAAAGGAGACAAAATTCCAAGCCTGAACTTTCTGTTCAGTCATATATGAACAACTGACCAATACCACCCTCACAGATACAGTTTTTAAGGCTAAATGTTCCCAATAATTCATTAGTCTTTCTTCACAGGACTTGCTAGCTAACTGTTTTATCCTTGTCTCTTTTCTCTATCCTTTACTAGTTCTTTAAAAATTTTACTTTTAAAAAAGGGGCAGCTAAGTGGCACAATGGATAGAGTGCCAGGCCTGAAGTCAAGAAGACTTCTTCCTGACTTCAAATCTGGCCCCCAACACTTACCATGTGACTCTGGGCAAATCATTTAACCCTGTTTGCCTCAGTTTCCTCACCTGAAAAATGAGCTGGAAAAGGAATCCTGATCCCAGGCCCAGTGTGCCATCCATTACACCATCTAGCTGCTCCTAGGTGAACCATTTACAAACTGATAAACAGTCAAGGGATATGAAGACGGAATTCTCAAGGGAAGAAATACAAGCTATCAACAGCAGTATGAACAAATGCTCCAAACCACTAATAGAGAAATACAAATGGAAGCAACTAAGTTTCACTGTATAGCCCTCAGATTAGGAAAGTTGACAAAAACATAAAATGACAAATGCTGGAAGGGCTTCATGAAAAAAGGCACATTGAAATGCAATGCTGAAGCTGTGAATTGGTCCAACTATTCTGGAAACCAATGTGGAACTATGTCCAATCAGTTATTAAATTATGTATCACTTTGACCCAGAGACACAATTACTGGGCCTAAATCCCAAAGAGAACAAATAAAGACAAGGTCCCATATGCACATTTCATGGTTTTTATGGTAGGAAAGAACTGGAAACTAAAGGGTGCCCGTCAATTGAGGAACGGCTGAACAAATTACCACATATGAAGGTAATATAAGGCTAACAAGAAATGAAGAAAGGGACAGTTTCAGAGAAACCTGAAAGACTTGTAGGAATTGATGCAGAGTAAAATGAACAGTCAAGAGAATAATTTATACTATAATAACATTGTAACAATGAACAACTTTCAAAGACTTAAGAATTCTGATCAAAGCAAAGGCCAATCATGATTCCAGAGTACTAATGATGAGGCGACAGACTAAATATACAAAATGAGACACATATTTTTCAAAATAACCAATGTGGGAATCTGTTAAAAGGTTTTGTTTTTCTCTTTTTCTCCCAGTTGCAAGGTGGAGAGAAAATAAATGCCTGTTACTTGAAAAAAATGTAATTAAAAAAATAAAGCTAAGATAGTGATAAAATGTCAGACAGCATATTACTTTCAGTGCATCAAATTTTTCTTTCCCTCTATGTAACTAAAATATCTTAAATTGCAACATCCTTGAGAAATTTTGATTAAAGTATTGTTATCACTAAATTAAGTCAAAGTATAGGATACCATCCTGAGATATATTAAGTCAAAGTATAGTATACCATCCTGAGATATGAGATATACCATCTGAATAACATTTTAAAGAAATTAAATCTTACATTAAAAAATTATTTTATTCTAGCCTTATTAATACTGTAACTTCAGATAGGTTTGTCTTTGGATATTTAATAGTGTCCATAAATTATATCAAGATCGAAAATTTAGCATTTCTGTTCTAATACAGTGATTGGGGCAACAAGGAATGAAAACCCCAGTTTTCCTTCAATCAAATATTTTACTGGTAGTAAAAGAACAAATTGATTTTTTAAAATTTTCTATCTTTTTTCCCAATACTTCAAAGTAAATGAAATTACTGTGAACCACAGAACTAAGATAGAAAAAAAAAGTATTAAATCTTACTTGACTGCAGCAAATACATTGTCTCCATTTTGAACAATTGTACAATTTATCTTTGCCTCATTTACGCCAACACATACAGGAAGTTCATCAGGTGAGTCTCTGTTAAACACAAAAATATTGAGATGTCCATAATATTTCTTGCAATGGGAATTCAGCTGCTAGAGCTGTCAATTCATGTCTGTAAACTTCCCTTAAAAGGACATGGAACAAGCTGCTAGGTGCCAACATTTTACTCAATCGTGTCTCAGTATCTGCTTTACTGAATATGGTCATATCTTAATGACTAGTAACATTTCAGGAAGCAAAATGTTAACAACTTGGTTCTTCTAAGAACAGGACTTAAGAACAAGCCTAAAACTGGACTAAAACCTACTTGTCAGCTTCTAAGAACAGAGCCTATAGAAAGAGCAATGTTTTATTCATCTCTATCCCACAAAAGGATTATGGGACAAAAGGAGTTAAAATAGAAAAGGACATCAAGGCTGTGGGTATATATTTCTTCTACCTTCCCTCAACAATTAATCCTCTTGAATCTATTGTCCTACCTGGTCTTTTGGTTAAATGGTAGCGGTTCTAACTGGCTGAGGTTGATAGAATTTTCTCCAAATCAACACTGCTTCCCTTTTGGCTAGATACAAAAACTTACTTTCACCCAACCTGGATAAGAAAGTTTTTTCTCTTACCAAGGCTTCTGTTAACACATGGGTGGCATAGATGGAAAAAAAGGAAGTGAGGTTTCCAGCATATTTCTTATGGTCCCATTTTATAGCTCCCCTGTATTTTTGGTAATTCATTGAGGATTCTCATAGTTCCCCAGAAGAAAACACAAATGCAGAGAACATTGCAAGAGTTCACCTATCTTAGAGAGGAGTTGCAGTGGCTAAGGCAAGAAAAATAGCCAAGAGACCAAACTCATTACTTTTAGATGTCCACCAAGCTAAAGACAATGTGTCATTCACTGAATCATAGAATTCTATTGTTGGGAAAGACCTTGGGTTAGTCACGTGTACATCTACTGACAAATGGTAAAGACATACTAGTTGCTTTCTGAGAAGGGGGAAAATCAAGTTTCTTACCTAAAATACCCCATGTGATACTGAGTTTTGTCATCTCCACTAACAATGGTCTGGAACTCAGGAGGATCATAGTAAAACCTCCAGTGAAGGTTAAAATTTAGGTCTGTTGATTTGTTTTCCACTTTGTGTTTTCCAGAAAGGATATCAAAAGGACCAACAAGTTGGAGTCCAAGGCTTGTTAACAGGGCATCTGTAAATGAAATTAAGTACACAAAGGGAAAACCAGTTTCTGGCAGGAAAGCAGTATTAACAATACTTTCTATTCAATTGTGTATTTCTAAGTAATAATCTTACAAAAATGACAGTTTTCAACATGAAACAGATCTTTCCAGTAGCATATGAAGATTGTCAATTCAATTCAGACGTTTATCAAAGAACTGTTTTGTGCAGGGCACTGAGCTAGCCTCTAAGATGAGCTGTTTACAACCACCTCCTCAATTTCTTTTCTACCATTCAAACTTCTGGTGACCCAGCTTTCACTCTCACCATTCTACTGAAACTGCACTGCTCTTTTTTTGGGGGGGGTGGGGGGATGGTAGGCAATTGGGTTAAGTGACTTGCCCAGGGTCACACAGCTAGTAAGTGTTATGTGTCTGAGGCCAGATTTGAACTCAGGTCCTCCTAACTCCAGGGCCGGTGCTCTATCCACTGCATCACCTAGCTGCCCCTACCGCACTGCTCTTAAAGGCTACCAGTAACCTCTAACTGCTACATTTAACAGTCTTTTCCTCAGTGTTCATTCTCCTTGATCTTGTCACAAATGATACCTTTGTCTACTCTCACTGCTGAAACCCCTTGGACTCTGGGATAGCTGTAATTTTGGTTTTCCTCCTACTTTGCTCACATCTCCTCTACTTTGAGGGTCTTCTACCTACTCTATGTCAGTTTTCCCTCCAAATTCAGAACCCAGTCCTCTCTTTCTCCCTTAGAAAACTCATCTGCTCTTATGGCTTTCAGCCACTGCCTCTATGTGAATGATTTTTATTATTCAACCAGTAAGCATTTAGTGAGTGTCTACTATATTCTTAGGGGCCAAGGATCCATAGACAAAAATACAACAGTCTCTGTCTTCCAGGAGTTTGCAGTCCATTGGAAGAGACAACATTAATGTAAGTATATACAAAATAAATGCATAATAAATAAAAGGCAATTCGGGAGAGGTATCAGAGGCTGAGGGGATTAGGAAAGATAAGGAAAGAAAGATAGTGCTTGAGCTGAATTTTGAAGGGAAGACTTTCAAAAAACAGAGATGTGAAGGGAGTATGTGAAGCATAATGATGTCTCCTTATGAGCCATTTACAGTCATTGTGGTCATGGAGAGACAGGCAAAAGTAAAATCAGCTTGGGTAGGGTAGGAGCTCTAACTTGTCTTCAGTTGAGAGATCTGGACAATGGGTTCTCTATCACTAACCTCCCTGCCTAAAGATGAGGGCAGACTACAGATCAGAACCCACATTACACATTCATCTCCCTCTCTTTAGTCTAGGTCATGTTGTCCATGGTTCTTTATTCCAAGGCAGCAGGTAGCTACACCTTGTTCCCTTAAGTATTCACAAGCTTTTCCCTAAACTTTACCCTTGGAGAGGAAATTGGGACAGAAAAACAGATTAGTGCTTCCCTTTGCTGGGGATCCATAAAAGAAATTACTCTTTAATTTGCCAGGACTTTCAAGCAAAGGGATAGTTAAAAACATAGTATATTTGTCAGAATAAAAGGTAAATATGTTCAAATGACTTTGTGATCCCATTAATGTGGCTGCTCCTTCCAATGACGCAGATGGCATCAATAAATGGATTCATCCATGCCTGTCCATCCTGTAGTACTCTTGATAATGCCTTCCCTCCATTAAGTTCACCCCAAGGGGTCTACCTAAAATGCTGCAGGTCTTCGTCACATTCTCCTAATATTGTTAGGATAAATGAGCAGAGGCGGGTGTACCTCTTGCACAGCCCACGTTCCTTTTTTGGTCAGTTATTTCTTGATGATATCCTTTACTCTTATTCTTCTCTGAAGTTCTTTGTTATGTGCTACAGCCTGCTCAACACCCAGTAGATGAGTCTCTCCTTGCAGCCCAACAATCTTTGCAAATTGTAGTTTTCCAGTTGTATGACTCACAGTCATACAACATCACTGATAGAATAGCAGTATTAAAAGGTAAGTCTTTCAGGGAGAAGTTGGGGTCACTAAAGGAGCATTGCAATTTCCCATAGTCCAGCTTGTTTTCCTCCTCCTCCTGCTTAATTCTGGGCCCAATTCACTGTCCATTTTCAGTTTCTAAAGATAAACATACTGAAGGATAAGTGTTGTTCATCTAATTGAATGCCACAGTCCAGACAATAAGCATTCTTTATCCACTCGGTAGTTAGGCCAAACTCTTGAGTTATGAATGCCTTGTCCAAGAAGTTTTAAAATATGGAGCCTGAGCCAAACAACGAAATGAAATCTGTAATGAGAAGTAGCTGGAGGACCTCACCATCTATGAGGTCCCTTCAACTCTGACTTTGTGCTAAATCTGCTATCTTTATAACAAAAATGTCTCTCTGTGTGTGTGTGTGTGTGTGTGTGTGTGTGTGTGTGTGCCTCACCTGATATTAATGATCAGAAAGCCATACGTGGTTCTATTATATTTTTCAAGGAATCTTGCATAAATTTAAATGACTCATGGGAGCTATCTTGTTGTGAGCCTTTAAAACAATATTTTGTTCTACCAAATCAAAACAACAAACAATAAACACTGAATGATTTTATATTCTCTTTCAGTCAACTATATGATGGTAAAGGTTGTCTATCACAAAATAGTGCTTGTGAAAGTCAGCCTGTTCTCTAACAACACCTGCATCAAGGACATACTTGATGCATGTGTATATTAGTCACATTTTATGTAAAACAGAAAGCAAGCATACAAGCCAGTTACTGTTCCAATAAAAAGCATAAAAATGTATGATACATATTAAGTAAAATGGAAAGGTAAGAGGAATAAATGTTTATATAGTGCCTATTATGTACTCAGCTAAGCACTTTACAAATATTATTTCATTTGATTCTCACAACAATTCTGAAGGTAGGGTTTTTTTTTTGTTTTGTTTTGAGGAAAGGCATATAAAAGAAATGATTTTTTTACATTTCTATTAAACATATTTTCACATTAGTCATATTGTAAAGAAAAATTAGAACCAATAGGAGGAACCACAAGAAAGAAGAAACAAAACAAAACAGAAGAAGAAGAAGAAAAAAAAGAGCAAATAGTATGCTTTGATCTGCATTCAAACTCCATAGTTCTTTGTCTGGATGTGAATAGCATTTTCCATAGGAGACTTTTGGAGATGTCTCAGATCCTTGCATTGCTGAGAAGAGTAAGTCTATCAAAGTTAGTCATCGAACAACATGGCTGTTACTGTGTACAATGTTCTCCTAGTTCTGCTTATTTCACTCAGCATCAGTCCATACAAGTCTTTCCAGGTTTTTCTGAAGTTCAATTGCTTATCATTTCACATAGCACAATAGTACTCCATTACATTCATATACGACAACATGTTCACTCAATTTCCAATTCTTGGCCATCACAGAAAGAGCTGCTATAAATATTTTTGTACATGTGGGTCCTTTTCCCATTTCTTAGCCAGTACCAAGTAGGTTTTGTTTTTTTTCTTTTTGGTGAGGCAATTGGGGTTAAGTGACTTGCCCAAGGTCACACAGCTAGTGTCAACTGTCTGAGGCCATATTTGAACCTAGGGCCTCCTGACTCCAAGGCTGGAGCTCTATCCACTGCTCCACCTAGCTGCCCCCAGTATCAAGTAATTTTGATGACTGCTGCTTCATAATACAATTTAAGATCTGGAATGGCTAGGCCACTTTCCCAAGCACTTCTTTTCATTAGTTCCCTTGATATTCTGGACCTTTTCTTCTTCCAAATGAATCCTGTTATTATTTTTTCTAGCTCTAAAAATAATTTTTTGGTAGTTTTATTGGTATGGCACTGAATAAGTAAATTAATTTAGGTAGAATTGTCATTTTTACTATATTTACTATAGTAAATTGTCAATTTATTATATTACCCATGAGCAACTGATGTTTTTCCAATTATTTAGATCTGACTTTATTTGTGTGAAAAGTGTTTTGTAATTGTGTTCATATAGTTCCTGGGTTTGTTTCAGAAGGTAGACTCCTAAATATTTTATAATGTCTACAGTAACTTTAAATGGAATTTCTCTTTCTATCTCTTGCTTTTGGGCTTTGTTGGTAAGAAATAAGAATGTTGATGATGTATATGGGTTTATTTTATAACCTGCAACTTTGTTAAAGTTGTTTATTATTTCAAGTAGTTTTTTACTTGATTCTCTAGGATTCTTTAAGTATATCATCATATTATCTGCAAAGAGTGATAGCTTTGTTTCTTCTTTGCCTATTCTAATACTGAAGGTAGGTTTTATCTACCTTCTGCAACTACATTTTTCCAATTTTGAAGGTGACAAGTACAGCATCCATTCATGTAGCTGTTAAATACTGCAACATGTCTGGATGAGTCTTTATAAAGTTCCTAGAAATTGTAAACAAAGTAAGTCAAAGAAAATATCTGTTTACAGAATATTATATGGAAAAATGTTTTTATTCAAAGAGCATAACATCATAAATGAAGAACTTTCTGTAGCCACCAAAAGTTTATCTCCCTCCACTTAATCCTGAATACAGCCAGATTAATTTTCCTAAATCACAGTTTTTATCATGTCACTTCATTTTTCAAAAAGTCTTCAATGACTTTCCATTGCCTTCAGGATACAGTTCAAATTCCTAAGGACATCCATCATCTGACTCCACCTTATCTCTCCAACTTTCTCTTCCACTGCTCCCCTATATTAAAACTTCTGCTCTAGTCAAGCTGGTCTTTTTTTTTTTTACCTCCATGTCTTTTCCAGGCATAGAGATAAAAATCTGTCCAAATGGGAAGTATATATACTTTACATAAAAATTTAATTTAAAAAGCACAACCAAAGTTTTCAGAAGCTTATCTTACATGATGAAAACTATTTTCCAGTATAGAGATATTCATCAGTCCTTTGCCTGCAATGATCATTAAAAAAAAAAAAATCAACATTAACCTATATCAAATTGACCAAAAGTTTTAAGCACATTTATATATTTTGTTTATATTTCCCCTTAGTGGTGTCTATATAAGAAGGACTTTTGAGGCTCCTTACCAGCTGGTTTTTCAGAATCAAGTTCTTCACAGAACTTCCAAAAGTGATAGAAATCTTCAGGCATTGAGAGCTTATAGAGATTTTCCACTTCTTGTCGAAGATCATCAGAGACATCTGCCCGGGTAGACCCTTTCTTCTTCATGTATTTTGACTTTTTATGCTACAAATTGGCATAAAAATTAGATGAATTCTCAGACAATAATTAGAACTTTCCCCAAACACCAAAGTTTTCCATCCCTTTTCTGGATATGACAAAACTAGATTGATTTTCTTTGCAAACACAAAGGGTTTGGTGTGTACTTTCTAAGAGGAAAATTTCAACCTTTTGGGGGCATGGGAGTGAGCAGGGAATGACTGTATCTGCTAGTGGAGAATGAAAGAGAAGGGGAGTCAATTTGTGAAAGGTATATACTTTATTAAGATAACAGAAAACAGTAACATAGAAATAATAAGAAAAAGAAAAGAGAAAGGCAATAAAAAAGCAAAGAGAAGAGAGGGGCCCTCTGATTTGCTTAGTTTTGTAGTGTGTTAAAAAGGGCTTTATGTAAATAGATTTCATGTTAATCATGGGTCAGGGCAACTGCAGAGAGGGATGACATGAGTCACTGAGGCAGCAGAGGCTTTTCTTCTGGGTCCTTTCTGGCACTATTTCTGATGTAGCCATTCACAACTACCTCCTAGCTACTGTACTGTGCCTATGGAAAAAAAAATATGTACAGAGATTAGCACATATGCATTAATGAAGGGTGGGAGGAAGAAAGAAAGTAGAAGGAGAGAAAGAAAGACAGAAAAGACTGTAAAATAGGATTTCTTAACCCAGTATCTGTGAACTTAAAAAAAAATTGTGATAATTGAAACTCAATATAATTGGCTTCCTTTATACTTCTATTTAATTTTATACATTTAAAAATATTATTCTAAGGAGAATCTGTAGGTTCTGCTAGACTGCCAAAGGGGTCATGATACAAAAAAGATTAATAACATCTTCCATAAAAGAACCATACCGGATTGTGTCAGTAATAGTTTTCTTTTACAAATAAAGACCACACATACCTACCCCTTCACATCTTTTGCATGAACAAAAGTAATGAAACTAGGATAAAAAGGGAAGTGATTAACTGGGGGAAAAATCTTTGCATCAAAATTTTCAGATAAGGGTCTGATATCCAAGATATATAGACAACTAACAAAAACATACAATACCAAGAGCTTAACACCAATAGATAAATGGTCAAAGATTAAGGTCAAACAATTCTCAAAAAAATTACAAGAATTAGCTACCATTTAAAATAATGTTCAAATCACTGATAAGAGAAATGCAAATCAAAACAAACTTGAGGTTTCACTTCCCACCCAGCAAACTGGCAAAGATGGCAAAAGATGTGAATTTTAAATGTTAGCAGGGTTGTGGAAAGATGGGCATACTAATGTATTTTGGCGGAGCTATAAATTAGTCCAGCCATTTTGGAAAGCAGTTTGAAAATATATAAATATAGTGACTAAAATGTCCATACCTTATGACCCAGATATTCCACTGATGGCAAATGGCCCAAAGAAGTAAATAAAGAGAAAGGCCTTCTATACACCAAAATATTTTCAGCAGTACATTTTGTGCAAAGAATTATTAACAAAGTAGATGGCCATTGATGGGAATGGCTAAACAAATTGCAGCACATAAATATAATGGGATATATTAATTAATTGTATTTTTATTTCTGGTGCTTCTTAGTACACTGCCAAACACATATTAAGTGCTTTAAAAAATGCATTATCTAATCTAATCATAGAAAAGAAACTGTAACAAATAATGAATTGCTGGAAAGACATGAATTACACAAAATGAAGTAACCAAACCCTTCCCCGTTAGAAGGTAAACTCCTTGAGGGCAGGGGCTATTTTTTCCTTTCATTGTAATCTTAATACTTAGCACATAACAGTAAAGTAACATACAACAACATAGGTCGAAAGAACAACAACACAACTGAACATTAATGCTAGAGAAGATGAGTTTTGAGATGTTTATGGGACAGCCAATTCAAGCTGTCCAATAGGCAGTTGGAGACATGACATTAGAAGTCAGAAGAAAGACTGGGGTTAGATCTGAGAATCGTTTGCTAGAGATAATAACTGAATCCACAGAAGCTAATGAGATCACCAAGTGAAATAATATAGCTGGTAGAGAAAAGAGGGCTCAGGACAGAGCCTTAAGAACACTCACAGTTAGGGGAGTGGCCTGGATGAAGATTCAGCAAAGGAGATTGAGGAGGGGTCAGACAGGTAAGAGAACCAGGAGAAAGCAGTGTCACGAAAACCTAGAGAAGCAAATATTAAGGAGAAAGAATGATCTATAGCACCAAAGGTTGTGCAGACAGGTTGAGAAGAAAGCCACATTAGGAAGTTTTTCTTTCTACTAAATCTAAATTTGCTTCACTGCAACTTCCATCCACTCTTCCTAGCTCTGCCTTCTGGAGCCAATCTCTCTTCCAAAGGGAAGAAGTTAGAGAAAGCATATTTGGACTCAACAAAAGTAAAAAAGAAAAAACTTTCTGAAGGGTTGTCTCCAGAGGATTTCCCCTCACCAGGGACTTTTCCATTGGGAACTTTTCAATCAAGAGTGGATGAACTCTTGTCGAGGATGAAGTAGAACTCATTCTTGGTCAGGTATAAATGATCTCAGAACCCCAAGGGTTTGTGAGTCTAAATTCTAAGATGTCATAGTAGGAAGCCCTCAAGCTCTTTGAGAGCAAGTATAGTTTTTTTGTCATTGTATCACCAGAGCCTATCACACAATGCCTTGCACAGTAGGCATTTAGTCAGTAAGTATTTATGAAGCACTTAAGATGTATTAGGTGTTGTTCTAGGAACTGAAGACACAAAGACCAAAAAAGGCCCTATGCAAAAAAAGTTCACATTCTATTAGGAGAAGCAACAGGCACACTTATACATAAGTACAAAATACCTCTAAAGTAAATACGGAGACACTAGTAGCTGGGGGAAGATCAGAAAAGACTTCATGTAAGAGGTGAAGCTTAAACTGAGCTTGAAGGAGGCTAGAGATGCTAAAGGGTGGAGGTGAGGTAGGAGTATACTCTGGGCATAGGAGTTCACTTCTGCAAAAAGGACAGAGACAGGAGATGAAATACTGTGTCTATGAAATAACAAGCAGACCTGTTTTAGCTATACTATAGTGTAAGTAATGGGAACTACTATGTAAAAAGCCTGGAAAGATGAGGTGAATCTAGGTTGTGAAGGGTTTTTTTTTAAATACCAAACTGTATTTTATCTTGGGGGCAATGAATAATTGGTGTTTTTTGAGCAGGGGAGTGACATGGCCACATCAGTGATTTTGGAAAACTTTTGACAGCCATGTGGAGTGTGATTGGAGAGACCTGAAAACAAACTAATAAATGTTTGTTTATTGAATAAATGAATTTTTATCCTTCCCTTAGTTGTCCTTGCAAACTCAATGGGGACTCAGGGCAAAAATTATACGGTTGTAAGTTTAGGGCTCGGAAGCCTTCTAATCTACCCTTCTCATTTTAGAGAAGGAAACTGAGGTTCAGAGAAGTTAAGTGACTTAATGATAATACAACACTTAATAAATATGTGCCAGGCACTGAGCTAAGCACTTTGCAATTATTGTCTCATGTGAAACTCACAACAACCCTGCAAGGTCGATGCTGTTATTATTCCTACTTTATGGATGAGAAAATTGAGGAAAAGGGATTAAAAAAAAAAAAGTAACTTACCCAGGGTCATACTGGTAGGAAGTGCCTGAGACAGGATTAGAACGTCTTAGCTCTTTTGGACCCCAAATTTCTATCTCATTGCACCATCTAGCAGCCGATTTATGGCTAGAAGGGACCTTGTGAGGCCAAAGAAAACAAATCCCTCATTTTGTTGATGTGCAAAAAGTGGATGGCAGATTTGAAGTGCCTCACCCAGGGCCACAAAGCTAGGAAGTGTCTGAGGACCGATATGAATAACAACAACAACAACAATAACGATAATAACAGCTAACATTTATACAGCTCTTACTAAGCTCCAATCACTGGAACACTTTATAATCACCCCATTTGATCTTTACAATCCTAGGAGAGAGATGCTATTATTCTCATTTTACAGATGAGAAAACCGAGACAAATAGAAGTTAAGTAACTTGCACAGCAGCTAGTAAGTATCTGAGGCAGATTTGGATTCTGATCTTCTTGACTCCAGGCAATGTGCTAAGCAGTTTAGCAATTTTTATCTCATTTGATATTCCCAACAACCCTGGGAGTTAATCCAGTTATCCACCTGGGAGCTGCTATCACTGTCCCCATTTTAAAGTTGAGGAAATTGAGGCATACAGAGGTTAAATGACTTGACCAGGGTCACACCGCTAGTGTCTAAGGCAGGATTTGAATAATAATAGCTGTACTATGCTAAACGCTCTATAATTTTTATCTCATTTGATTTTCATAACAACCCTGGGAGTTAGGTGTTATTATTGGTCCCCATTTTACGGCTGAGGAAACGGGGACAAAGAGCGGTGAAATGACTCGCCCAGGGTCACACATCTACTAAGTGTCTGAGGCTGAAGTTGAATTTAGCACTTCCTGACTCTGGGCCCAGGTTCTACGGCGCCCCTAGCGGGAATACGATGACTAACATTCCAGAGCCTGAAGGAGGCTTAGATCCCTAACGTAAGGGATCCTCATCTTAAAGCTGAGGAAACTGAGGCCAAGGGAGGGGAGGTGATCTGCCCCAAGAAAACTCATCCAGCGACAGGATATACCCCCAGACCCCCTGGCCAGGGGTCGGGCAGCTCCGCAGGCCTTGTCCGGGGCGGGGAGATGGAGATGGAGATGGGGGTGGGGGTGGCGAGGAGAGCTCTGGGGCTCCCGCGCCCAACCCGGCCGCAGCCTCCCACACGGACCACTCCTTAAATGGCTCCGTCAGAGCCCCTGAGCTCCCCTCGGGCCCCGCTTTTCCCAGCGCCTACCTGCGACCCGGCCCCATCTCCAGACTTGCGCTTCCTGCTGCCTCTCATCCTGTCACTGCCTGAAAAAGCAGGGGCCTCGCAGGAACCTTGCAACCGCCTCCTGCTCCGAGTACCAACGCCAACTGCTTCCGAGGTCAAGAGCCGCAAGATCCAACCAATCGGGAGCCGACTTTATCGCCTCTTTTTCCACAAACTCCCTTCCACTTGCCAATATAAGGAAGAGACCCCGCCCATTCAACGGTTTCCATGGTGTTAAAGGAAGCCCCTCAGACCTATCAGGTCACTAAGAGGGCAACATAAGCCCCGCCCCCAGGGTGCTGTGGCCCCGCCCAGTAACATGTGTTTTGAGCCCGGGAAGAAAGGTCCCGCCCATGCCAGAGTTCCATAGAAGGAGTAAGGCCTTGGGTCACGGGCCTCTGCTTCAGTCAGTCAGTCAATAAACATTTATTAAGCACCTCCCTTGTGATAGGCACAATGGGATTCAGAGAAACTTGCATTTTTATGTTAAAAATTTTTCACTGAATAAATAGTTAATTTTTTCTCCTTCTTGGCCCCCCAAGGGCAGCTAGGTGGCCCAGTGAATAGAGCTCTGGGCCTGGAGTTCATATCCAGTCTCTGATGCTTACTAGCTGTGTGACTCTGGGCAAGTCACTTAAACCCTGTTTGCCTCAGTTTCTTCTTCAGTAAAATGAGCTACAGAAGAAAATGACAAACTACATCTTTGCCAAGAAAACCCCAAATGGGGTCATGAAGAGTTGAACACAACTGAAATGACTGAACAACAACCTGGACTCCTCCATCAATGAAAAGGTAAACCAAACCCAAAACAAAAGCAAAAAAAGCTTGCAAAACAAAAAACAAATGCTTGCAACAAATATGCTTTTCACAAAACAGACTCCTACATCAACCATATTAAAAAAAAGAGGACTGTCTCATTTTGTATCTTGAATCCATCTATCACTCCTCTGACTGAAGAAATCAGGGGTGGTCATTGCTTTATCAGAGTTCTTATAACTTTCAAAGCTGTTTGATTTGATAGTATTGTTGTTATTGTATAAATTGTTCTACTTCTGTTCACTTGACAACATCAATTTAAAAATGTCTTCTTATACTGCTCTGAAATCATCACTTTCCTCATTTTTTATGGAATAATAATATTTTAATGATGTACTGTAATTTGTTCAGCCATCACCCCATTAATAGCTAAGAATATACATATATGTATATGTATGTGTGTATACATTTAAAGTTCACAAAGGACTTTACAAATATCTCATTTTACCCTCCTACATACCCTGGGAGGTAGGTGTTACTATTATTCCCATTTTACAGATTGAAGCAGAGGTTAAGTATCTTGTACAGGGTCACAGCTAGTGAATGTCTGAGGCTAGATTTGAACTCAGGTGTTCATGTCTCCAGGTCCAAAACTCTAGCCATTTTGCCACCGGCTGCCACTAGTAAGTATCAAAAGCCAGAAGGAACCCAGTTCATCCTAACTCCAAACCCTGCTGGTTATCTAATACACCAGGTTGTAGAATGTGTGTGTGTGTGTGTGTGTCATTCTAATAGTTGAGAATCTAGGCATAAGCTTAAATCAACAGAATTTTAGGCAGAGTTAGGCTTGTCACTTAAACTCATTTTTGTTATTTAGTCATTTTCAGTCATGTCCATCTCTTTTTGACCTCATTTGGGCTTGGCAAAGATACTAGAGTGGTTTGCCATTTCCTTCTCCAGCCCATTTTACAAATAAGGAACTGAGGCAAACAGAGTTCAGTGCCCCACAGTCACACATCTAGTAAATATCTGAGGCTGGATTTGAACTCAGAAAGACTCGTCTTTTTGACTTCAGGCCCAGCACTCTATCCACCGCAACACCTCACTGTGTCTAACCATAGATATCATAACTGGCTTCTTAAACCATGATATCAGCATCATCCACAAGTCCTGTTGGATAGTAAAACATGAGCCAGAAAAATCCCAGGACTTTATGTGTCCAGCTCCAGACATTTATTGAACCATAGCAGCTGGCAAGCAGCAATCAGGAATTGGAGCCACATGTCAGGGTCTCTTGAAACCAGGGCCCCTCCCTGCCCAGTCCTTGGAGGATGGCAGCAGAGATGAGGAGGAGACTCTATCTTACGGCCCTGGACCTTTCTGATAGCTCCCTTGGCCTCCCTCATTCAACTGGACAAGGCGCACCTCCTGCCTCAGGATAAAAGCAGTGAGGCATCCCGGTCAGGGACCAGAGAGGATTCCTTTAATCCAACAATGAGAGGCAGCTACAAAGAAAAGCAGCTGCCCAGCCCTGTGCACAGCTTCAGAGGGATTGCTAAAGATCGTAGCCGCACCCCTCACCTCTTCCCGACCCTTGAGCCAGATGTTGCACAGGGTATTTTCAGTCAGGTTCAATTCTTTGTGAACCCATTTGGGGGTTTCTCGGCAAATATATTGAAATAGTTTACCATTTCCTTCTCCAGCTCATTTTACAGGTGAAGAAACCGAGGCAAACAGGCTGAAGTGATTTGCCCATAGTCACACAGCTGAGGAACTCGAAAAGATGAGTTTTTCGGACTCCAGGCCCAGCACTCTATCCATTGTACCACCTAGTTGCCCAGTCACAGATAGTATCATACTATAATTCCTAGAAGAAAAGAAATATCACATATGAAACAGTTTGAGTGTCCAAGAGTAAGGGAATGATTAAATAAATTTTTGTTATAAATTCCAAAATTTATAACATAATGGAATACTATGACATAATTAAGACCTGGTATGAGTACTACAAAGAAATACCAGCACAGTATAAGAAGGTGGGAAAAAGTAAGGAAAATTTAGGAAAAATTACCTTTCTACTTGTGGCTACCATATGTACATGATTCATCACAAAGGATGGTACTTTGATATACCTGGTAAATCCCTTGGTGGTCCCTTGACATATTCTCCTGTAAGGAAGGTGAATTTTAGTGTGTGTAAAGTGGATTTTTTGTTATTCTTTCTTAGAGTTTTCATCCCAGGATCCATAGCCATAACAATCTCTACTTCCCAGGTATTAGATATGAGTTCTCACAGTGATGGTTCAAAACAGTTTCTGCTGCACAGTTGTGGTAGATATAGGGGTGAAGTAATGTAAAATTGTGAGGCTATTGCTGGCAACATGCCTTCTTTGTCTGTTGCCCTATAAAGCAAGTGGGCACTGGTCAGTGACTAGGGACCCCATAGAGATAAATGTGTAGGCTGGAATGCTGTGCGTGCCTTGATCAGCCCCGTTCAAGGCTTCGGAGGGAGAATCTGTGTGTTTACCTCAGTCGGCCCCCATTGAGCCTTGAGGGGATTTAGGGGAGTGCACAAGTTGTGCTGGTCTCAATTGATCCCATCGAGACAGAGGGGTAGTTGCCTCCCCTTCACTCCAGGCCCCTGCAAGAAGGGTTAAGGAATGCTGTAGGAGTTGGTGCTCCCATTATCAGCAAACTCCCTTTGAGAAGACTAGACTAGAATAAAGGAAGCTTATTTAACCCCTTATTATGACTCCATTCCTGTCTTCCTTTCTGACCGGATCAAAAGTGAAACTGCTAGTGAGAGAGGTGCTAGAAGCCCTCCTATTTCTTCTACCTAAGAAATGGCATAGTTGATGTATTTACCTGTCTAACATGAGCCTTAAGGAATTTCCCCCAGAGAGCTGGAGTGGGGATCATAATGATCCAAAGAGCGTGGGAAAATAGACTAACCCCTCATATTCAATGATAATTGCCTTCCCCAGGACTAAACCTGATCCAATAGTGTGTATGGGTACAGAGTGGTATAGTGTGCCAGTCTTTTGGATCCAAGAATAGATATTTAAATTTTAGAACAGAAAGAAGTAATTGAAGAGGAATGATTAAGACATAAGAACAATTCTGAATCACACAACGGAGAGTGTCCAAAATAGGTTCCATAGAGATGTTTCTGAAGGTGTTCAAGCTAGGTCCTCTGTACCATTATCTATTCATCAGGCATCTAACATAGGTTCCTAGATTTAGAATTGAAGGTCACTGGGTCCCAACACCTCGTTTGGCAGGTGATGAGTTGGAGGAGCCATGGAAATTGTGTGACTTGCCCAAGGTTACACAGTTAAAGGTAAGTGGTAGAGCCAGTTCTTAGGACTAAACAATGGAAAAGATGCTGGATTCGTCATCAGAGGACCCAGGTTTGGATCGCAGCTCTACCAATTTCTCGTGACCTTGGTCAGCTGATTGGGGATGAGCACCTGAAGTCTTTTTAGAAAATTAAATTTGCTTTGATATCACATTCATTTCTCCCCTATTAGTGAGCCTTCTTTTACAACAAAGCTGAGAATAAAATACGCAAAAAAGTTCAGCAAAACCAATACATTGGCCATGTCTGACATCATATGCAGTATTCCACACCAATAATCCCTCACCAATTCAACAAAAGGAAAGAAGTATCTTTTGTCAACATTTCTCTGGGGAACAAGGCTTGGTCATTTTAATTACACAGGTTTCTCAGTTCATTGTATTGCTCTGGTTTATATTATTGTAATCATTTATTCCTGATGTCTACTAGCACCAATGGTTAGTACCTCCCCCTTCTCTACATCACTACCACCTGAGTCATTGTGCAACATTAACCACCTGGTCCCACAGTGGCACAAGGGCCTGCTCTGCCTCTGAGGTCTGGGCCCCAATTTTCCGTATTCTAGGGGAGGCTCTGATTCTACAAATCTGTGAAATTGTCATGTTCTTTTATGTATCCATCCTTACATAATTGCCAGTTGCCATGGTATTCTGTGCAGAGACTCTGTTGTTCTGCTGTGATTCTGTCAGTAAAACCAGAGTCTGCCACAGAATGCATTAGTAGGAGCAGGGTGCTAATGGTTGGTTTACTGAATCCCTCCTTCCACCTGGTAGGCCCCTGAGCTATTAGATGACTAAGATTTACAGCAGGGAGACATTCTTAATTATGACAATTGAATTGCCTGACTCCCACTTAAGCACCAATAGGGGTGGGTGTTTGAAAGGAAGGGTGTCAGTTAAAGCTTAGCAAGGAACAGGGACTAGTCATACTTGCTTTAACGGAATGCCTAGTTTTACATAATGATTACAGAGTAAACAGAAACTTGATTTTGTGTGTAACATTAGAAAAGCAACTGATCTTCAATCTAGTCCCAGGAGAAC